GGGGTGGTGCGGCGCGGGGGCGGGTGCCCTCCAGCCCTCATTACATCACCGCTAAACAGAACAGTTACGTCACTGTACCGCTCAAGGACGTTGTAAGTATCTACATGACGTCACTACATCATTGTAGGGTTGCCAGAAATAACAAAAAAAAATAATAAAAAATATCTTAATTTTATTTTGCATTTTAAAAATAATTCGATAAGTAACAATATTATATACAAAGAAGCTATGCTTAGGAATAAATTTTTTTCTTGAAGAAGTGAGATAAAAAGACAATTTAAGCAAGAAAACAGATAAAGTGCAAACAGTACAGTATTTCTTTTATTTAGATTATAAATCTATGTTAATATGAATATGTTTCTTAGTATACTTAACCTTCCCACAGCCGCGTAAAGCTAAACGCCAACCATCGTTCACCGGCATGAGTGGACCGAGCGTGCTTCTCTCAAAAAGCAATAACATACCGGCCAACAACCACAATACAGGACTCGCGACACCCAAACTATATCCAAAAGCAATCGCCAATGAATACGACTCGGGTACATTAAGACGACATTCCAACCAGCCCAAGAATAACCTCGATATTGAAGAAGATAAGTTCTATTGAATTTCACATCGGTGTTAAAAGGTTAACCTTTTTATTGGGACAAAATGTGATTAAAATGGCAACAAAAGCTGTTTAATCGGAATCTATTAAATAGGTTCCGTATTCGGGAAATTAGATTTTAAATTTGACCTTTGACTTTTTAGTGGTCTTTATATGAACTTTAATTTTATTCTGATCCTTTTGGAAAGTCAATTCTCTGAACCCAGTGAATAATAACAAATATGACAATTATATTGTCTACTGTGACACTTGTCAATTTGACAACTGTCAATTTTTTTTTTTTAGAAAAAAATTATGAATTAATTGATTTGAGTAAAAATCGATTATTTTAGCAAATCTATTTCGGTCTTGTTGTTTAAAATTAAATAAGTGACCATCTAGTCGGTTTTCATTGGTTGGTATAAAATTGTTTTGTTGTGACGTCATAACTTGTAAGATATGTGATTGGTCGCTTTTAGGTTAGAAATCTTAGTTTTAATTCGTCCTGTGCCATCGTAACTAAGATTGTAAAATATTTTATACGTACTTTTATAATATTATATGTAATTTAAATAATAATAATTAATATAAACAAGAACAAATACAAGTGCCATGTAAATAATAGATTTTTTATTAATTTTCCAGTATTTAGTAATCAGAATTCCCAAGTACATATAAATGAAAATATATATTTTTAATATGCTATAATATGTTATATTAAGATAGTTGAACATATTTCAACATAAGATTTGACTCATGTTGAGTCTGTGTGTGTGATTGGAATTTTTATATGCTTTTTATAAATAGGATGAAGACGTTTATGTTGTGTTTTTTCTAACTTCTATATACATAGAATTTATATACAATATGTAATCATATAATTTATATTTTGGAAAATATCATTGAATAAGCTGACTTTGATATCAGCACAGATTAAAAAAAACTAGACTTTTTTTGCAGTCAGTACAGATTTCATAGTATGTGTTTTTTACATTGAAAATAATAAAAAAAATCACAAATGTATATTCTAGATTTAATATCTGTTAGTTATTTATATAAAGTACAATTTAATTATATTAAATTGATACGAATATTTAATTAATGAGTTTTTCGAATTGCCGGTGATGTGATACGGATATAATGTGCCTTATAGTTATGCAGTTAGAGTTTATTTTGCATTGTATATTTATATAGAATTTGAATATTACCTCTCTGAAAATGATCAAATTGAGGTAATATCACAAACTTAAAAATCAAAATCTCATTTTAAAAAAAAACATAAATTGACAAGACAGTACGACAAAAGTCTTTTGACACTTTTTTAACAGGATGGCGCTAGTGTGCTGTCATAATTTAGTTTGACTTATGCCTACATATGTCAGCTATATTCGAATCTTTATTCAGCAATAGTCATGGGTGACTCAACTAAAATTGATGACATGCTCAGTGAACCGACTCGTAGCTCAGCTCATTTTAAATCAGTATAGATTTGCGTTTCATGCTACGATTTACGAGTCAGCTAACTGGTCGCTTACTATAGTTAGCGCATTGAGCCGTGAGCTACCAATGTTCTGCAACTCAACGATTCAAGTCACTGACTTGAACATTTGAATCGATTCAGAATTATTTCAGAGTGGTAAAGTTATAAAAAATTACTCATTTAAGAGGCTTTCTCTGCTAACTCACCGATTTATTTTTTTTCTTTTAAGTGTTTTGTATATATTTATGTTCTTGTGATCTGTTAGTTATATTTTATATTTAAATTACTTATGAAATACATTTCTAAATATATTTTATTATGAACTTGAAAATTGTTTTATATACTGTATGTTGTTTTTTGAAGCTAACGTCGTAAAATAAAGACTGCCATTTAAAAGTTTTTTTTTTATTTGCCCTTCCAAACCTTTTCTTATGAAGATGGAACAGAGGAGGGGAGGCATAGGAAGATGAAATACGTTTTTGTGAGTCTCTTCTTCCGTTGATTAAAGGTAGGTAACGTATATGTAAATGAACATACATAAGTACAGGTTACTTCGCTATTTTAGCGAAATCAAATGCCCGTTTTCTCATTTACAACCTTTTATAGTAAAAAAATACATTTTAAGGTAATAACATTGTCTCTGTCTTATCGAAAAGAATGAAAGAGATGGCAACATGTTTTAATACAAATGTTTCGGCAGTGGGAACAGCGATGTCTACGAACTCTTGATCTTTTGTACTTTACATTTTATGCACAACGTTTTTATCATATATATAAACAAACAAACACATACAATAACCGTCGCAATAAAATCTAAATACATTTTCTGGTACCAGGGCAACAGAAGTGCGGCGGAGCGATAGTGTGGCGCGCCATTGGTACGTACCACGTATTCTACCCAGTATACCAATTCATCGCCAGGTGGTATCATTCGATTGTGGTACGTTATTGATGTCTGTTTCATTGCTTCACGGTATCTATAAAATATTAAAGAAAAAAAGGAATACGTTACGTTACGCCTTTTGATATCTTACTAATATGATAAATGCGAATGTTTGGATGGATGGATAGATTTTGTTTGATGGTGTCTCCAGAACGGCTGCATGAATTTCGTTGAAATTTGGCATAGATGTAGAAGGTAGTCTGGAGGAACTTAATTAGTAGCCTATGTGAGGCTACAAATTATTTTTTTTTAATGCTGCGCGGACGGAGTCGGGGGCGACAGCTAGTAACTCAATAATCTTCAACCATTTACTTCAAATTAAACTAAAAACGCAATTACAAATGAAATACCTAAACAATCGTTTTAATCTTGTTAAGATCCGAATTCTGTTTTTATTAACTCACGTGTTATTGTTCAGAATTTCTTGAACAGCGTCTTTCAAGTCTTCAGCCAAGTTCAAACTCAATGAAACCTTTAAAGCAAAACCTCTTTGAACAGATTTTGCTACATTAAAGTTTTGGTCGTAGAAAACTGGTAAACCGATAAATGGTACTGAAAAGTGAACTGCCTCGGTAACCGACAACATGCCTCCATGTGTAATAAATAAAACGCAGTTAGGATGAGCTGGAAGATAACATAGGGTTAGGAAGATATTAAAATTAAATATCAGTAATACGATGCAAATGTCACTTCACACTAATATTACAAATGCGAATGTTTAGATGGATGGATGTTTGTTTGAAGGTATATCCGCAACGGCTTAACGGATCTTGATGAAATTTGGCACAGATGTAGGACATAGTTTGGAAGAATACATAGGAGTCGCAGGAAACAATATTTAAATAATTTGATCCTATTAAAAACAGATAAATTGGTATATTTAAATTACTAATAAAAATATTTCAATATGTACGCAAAAAGGTGGCTAAGTCAAGACAGAAGAAGAAAGTAAAGAAGTAGATTCTCTCTCTCTCTCTCTCTCTCTTTTGTTTTGAAAAAACTGAGATGACAATGTTTTTGTAACACATAAAAGATTTTACTTAAAATTCTCATTTAAAAAACTCAAACTGTATTCAATATTCAAAATGCCCTAAATATTAATGTAAAATTAAGTAACTATTTTAATAAAGATTTTATTACCAAGAATACTTTGTTGCGGTGCCCATTTTAAAATATGTACGTTTGCAGGTTTGTTTGTCAACGATTGTTCAAACTTCCAAATAACTGTCTGTTGTAATTCTCCAAATAATTTGAGTAAATCTTGCAATATCTTTTCGGGAAAATCTTTACTCTTTAAATTTGATCCTAAACTAAAATAAATTACTCCATGCTTTGCATCATCCAATATATCTTTTAAATCCTAAAAGTAAAAAGAAATCAAAAACCTATAAAACAACGAAAAGATACTGTGACCGATACAAATTTTTTTTATCTTTTATATAAAATTCTAGTGTCACAATTTTCGTTCCCATACTCCTCCGAAACGGCTTGACCGATTTTCATGAAATTTTGTGAGCATATTGAGTAGGTCTGAGAATCGGCCATCTGTTTTTATTCCCGCGCAGACGGAGTCGCGGACGACAGCTAGTTTGTTAGAATATTTTTGCGTTAATATTGAGTTAATCCTATTTGTAACAGACTGTAACATACCTGAGGTAGTGGTTTGACTTCATCTATATGATATCCAGCAATAGGGATATAGTTTTCGGGTAATGCCAAAGCTTGACCGATAGATGGGTCTGTATTGCCTAGTATTAAAGACGCGTTATATCTCAATATATCATATTCAGGCAGTGTTGTTATACCACGCTTCTTTAAGATTGGACTAAAAATTTCTTCGTAAAGATTCTTCTCTATATTTTCATAAAAACTATAAAATTAAGAAAAAAATGAAGGATGAAAATACAGTAGAACGCCGATTAAATAATTAAAAAATTTAAACCAAGAATTTTAAACTTTGTATTTATGTTAAGGCCTGATAGAGTTGCAACTCAGATCGCGATGTTCAAGTGAGCGTTATTGTGGAACTGAGTTTGTTAAACCCAAAAATCTTTATTCTATGACAGTGACAGTTCGTTTTTCTTTATTATCTGTCTATATCCGAGTATCCGAATCGACCCCGGTCCCTATTAATTCAGATAATCAGCGTTCTACTGTAATTGAACATTTATTTGACAATTTGGACACAATTATACTTTTTTAAATGTAGATTTAACCTTTATTTCTCAGTTAAAAGATATTAAGTGTATAAAATATGTATAAATAGTTGTACTTACAATAAGTGTTGTACTCTGCTCGTTATACGAAACCATAAAGAATAAACCCGTTGCCAGAAATCAAACGGTGGTACATCACTAGTTTCGATATTAGCCGTATACGCCGGATTAGAGAACTCTCCAAGTAAACCAAGACTGATTGAATTTGTCTCGTATGGAAACGACCAAATATACGGACATCGAAATAATGCTGAAAATCTGTAAATGTAAATAAACACTGAAGCACAGTATATATTGGATTTTGGCACCTTTTAAGTAGAATAATTTTGTCAGCACTTGACATAAGAATTGGCCTAGCTATAACACGCACACTTTTACGTTATTAGTAACAAAACATATCAGAACTTACGCCTTTATAGTTAAAATATAAAATGATAAATCGATACAGATATATCATGTTCAACTCAAGAAGCCAGAATAGCTATCATAAAATTTAAAAGTACCCGCAATAAACATCGTTGAACATCCATTCCGCGACAATAACATCAAACGACTCGGAAGGATCGTTGAGTAATTTCTGGACTGATTTGTTCTTAAGAGTATTCTTCGTAATGTTTATAGCCAGTTGAAAGTGACGGTCTTGATCCATTTCAACTTCGTGCAACATCAACGCTGTTATGTTTAGTGATGAGCCTGTAATATTACGTTTTAAAAGACGAAACATCTTAACTAATGTTATCGATTGACTAATCAGTAAGGTATCTAATTAGGAGTCCTAATACGCAAAAAGGCAACACAGTATGTTAAGGCCACCTACAAGATATGGAATTTCGATGAACGAATTTAAGAAGGGAAAAATTTGGACGATTAACAAGGATTGTACAGAACTACAGTCAACATCAGATTAAAGTTAATAGATATTGTTAGTTATTTTATATATTCTGTAATTCCTTAACCTAAAACGTTAGTCTATGCTTTAAGTCAATAACACTGTCGTTTATTTAAAAAAACATTAATCATTAGTATTACGATCCGACAGATTTTTTAAATATTCGATTCTGCATTATAAAATAGAAGTATTCAACTTATCATGTTAATAATCTGACAGTATTTCGTTATCGTAAATTAAAAGTATTGTAATTGCTCGTCTGAATGACGGCCATGTTTTTTTCTGACATTCGGGTAATCGTAAAGACAATGTAACAGCGGTGTTTTTGAAAAAGTTGTTGTTTACAATTCCTAAAGAAATATATGAATTGAAGAAGACTATGTTTTATTTGAAAAAGTATTCTCCGACTGTGACTCCCATAATATATTAAATATAATATAAAAACATACCACTTATAGCATTGACAGTATCTCCAGTGGTGATCAGACGAAGATTCGGATCAGAACTTTCGTACGGGAACGGTGTTATGTAAGTCACCTGTACAATTTTGTATTACAGGTACGTAGAATGTCACTTTTTATTATCAAGCAGGATAAAAACGTCATCTAGTAATAGATGTAGCTTCTTAATAGAGAAAGAACTTTTCAAATCGATTCACTAGTTTTGGAGTGAATTCAATGCAAACAAACAAATCTTTATAATATTAGTATCGATTTAACACAAAATAATTGGAGAAAATTAAATAACATAATTGCCGCCATTTGTATAATTACACGTTTATTTGTTTAAATAATCTTGTCGTTCAATTGAAACGACGTAAAGTTTATTGAAAATTAAAAATAACTAGATAAATTTCATACCTCGTGTCCGGCTTTCAATAAATTCCTAACATATCCATCGCCTAGATTTCTATGACTGCCTGCTGGGATAGGGAATACAACCAAAACTTTGTACCCCTCTATACTCGAAAAAATAGCAACAAACACCCAAATGCCAAACATTTTTTGCAAACACATTTCGACTAATACATGATATTTATAAAAAAAAATCATTCTTTGATATCAAAAATGATTACGCGACATATCTTTAAGTTTATAACTTGCAATAAGATAAAAACATATCAATATTATAAAATCTTTTGTCACAAAAGAAATTATCAGAAATTGTATGATGATTTTTTGACATCAAGAACAGTACAGCACTTCGGAAACCCGGTTTAGTCTCCTTTCATAATATTCTAATTAATATTACGTAGTTATATATATTACATATAAGATTCAGGTGCAAATAAAAGACGTTTTTTGGACGATTTATTTATGAACTAAAATAATACGTAAAACATTTTACTAAATACAACACAAAATTCACATATCTTATAACATCTTTTTCTTTTCAATTTTCTTACCAATACACAATTTTAACAAATAAATCGTACTAAAAATAACTATAAGTACCAACACTATTAAATCTAAATACATTTTCTGGTACCAGGGCAATAGCAATGCAACGGAGCGGTAGTGAGGTGCGCCATTGGTACGTACCACGTGCTCCACCCAGTGTACCAATAACTTACCAGGTGGTACGGGACGGTGATGGTAAACAAATGACAACTCCTTCATTTTCTGACGATATCTGTATAAAATAAAATTAATTTAAAACGAAAAGAAAACAAAAATTGCCACACCAATAAATTAGCTTGGTATTTCTAAATAGAATCAACGGGCCTTCATATACAAAGCAACGTAAATCGTCGGAACTTGTATGGTTGTGTCGCGGAAATCGCGTTGCGCGCTCCGAGCCCACAATGTTGAATCGTCGACGCAAGTCGTCTATTCGGTTAGCACAGACATAGCAACAGGTCAACTGTCAGATTTGCTCCGCCATCTTGAATATTGCAAATGTTTTCTCACGACAATATTGACAAATAAGTTGCGAGCGAATGTTTTTAACGTTGACAGATAAAAATGTCTTTGTGTACGAACCCCTATTGTAAGCCAAATCGATTAAAATTACCAGTTTTCAAAGCTTTACGTTGGTCGTAAGGCTGAACCTTTTTATACTTACTTAGGATTTTCAAGCATTTCTTGTATCGCATTCTTAAGATGTATATGACAATTCTCTGAAAGCATCACTTTGAGAGTGATTCCACGTCTCACAGCTTGGTCTACGTTGAAGTTTTGATCAAAGAATACTGGAATTCCGATAGATGGTACTCCGAAATGTACTGCCTCAGTAGTCGAGAGTAGACCTCCGTGAGTTATGAATAGAATGCAGCTAGGATGAGCTGGGGATAATTAAAAACCATTATTGATTAATAAAATCAATATTCAATCCGAGAAATCGGCCCAAAATTATTTTAATACACGTTAACAATTAGGTTTTTCTTTTAGATATTTAAAGCATGATTAAGGATAAGTTAGGCAACACTAATAAATTAATTTAAAAAATTAAGCATCAAGCTTTTTTATATTTATATATTTCGCCATACAATATGATTTTCGATTTATATATGTACATTTATCCAACGTTTTTACGGTGAAGGAAAACTTCGTGATGCTGCACATATCTGAGAAGTAATTCAAAGATATGTGTGAAGTCAACCCGCACTGAGCCAACATTAACTATGGCCTAGTCACTCCTAACTTAGGGTCCGAGCCTCTCAGTGGGGACATATAAATGTTAAAGTAACAAATGTTTTATCGATATTTTATGGAACTTACCCAAAATACTTGTTTGCGGTGCCCATTGCAAAATGTGTACGTTCGTTGGTAAGTCCGGCAATGCCTCTTCGAATTTCCATATAACAGTTTGTTTTAATTCAGCAAACGTTTTCAACAAATTCTTTTTAATATTAGTAGGTAAATCCTTACTCTTCAAATTCGATCCTAAACTGAAGTATATAACTCCATTCTTCGCGTTGTCCATTATAAATTTTAAATCCTAATGACAAGGAATTTTAAGAATCTTATGACGTTGTTTTGAAATAAATTTAATTTACGTAAAGTACTGGATAATTAACTAAATAATAAATTAACTGAGAAAATACTTTCTGTCAAAAAAGTTTGCCTTTAACAGCATATTTGGAGATTGTGAAACGCCAAACACTTTATTTGACAAATAAATTCGTCAGACCTTCCATTACGGAAGCCAAAGACATATTTTACTAATATAAATGCGAGTGTTTAGATGGATGGATGGCTAAACGGACCTCGATGCTATTTGGTATACATATAGAACATAGTCTGGAAGAACACATACACTTATGTATCTTTAATTCCGCGCGGACGCAGTATTCTTATTGATTATATAGTCATCCCTTACATTCTGTTTGATAAGACAGAGACAACATGTTCAATACAACTGTTCATGACAGCTCTATCCTATCTTAACTCTATACCTCCGGCAATGGTGTGACGTCATCAATATGGTAGCCGGCGATGGGTACATAGTTCTGTGGCAGTCTAATCGCCTGCCCAAGGGACACGTGGGAGTTGCCAAGGATCATAGCAGCGGAGTATTTAAACTCATTGTATGGCTGTAAATGTCCACCCCGCTTCTCGACAATAGTCTTGAAGATATTTTCGTATACATCGGTATCGATCTTTTCGTAGAATCTGGATAGAAAGATTTTTTATTCAATCGAAATGTACAGTTAAAACTTAAGGTGTGTATATGGCTTTATTTAGTAAAGGTATCCTCAGAACGGCTCTACTAATAATTACGAAATTGATTAATTGTAGAACATGTGCAAAAACTTATGAAATTATTTTTCACCTCCGCGTGTTCGCAGTCGCTGACGACCAACGCTAATCTTATTAATACTATAAAGGCGAGTGTTACGTTGGATGGATGTTTGTTTGAAGATATCTCTAGGACGGCTACATGGTTCTTGCCGAATTTGGCATAGGTATAGAACATAGTCCGAAATAACACGTAGACTAATTAAGTTTTTTTTTTTAAATTGCGCGGATAAATACGCGGGCAACAGCTAATTTACAATAAGTTCTATAATAGTTCCCATAAAATGTCATGTACTTACAGAAAATATTTCACTCGATGCATTATTTGAAACCATAGCGCGAAGACACGCTGAGTGAAGGTGAACGGTGGTATATCACTAAACTGTATGTTGGCTGAATACGCGGGATTACTCGCCTCGTCTATCAAACTCAGGCCCACGAAGTTTGGCTCGTAGGGGAACGACCAGATTAAAGGACAGTTGAACACAGCCGCAACACTGCAATTATAGACTCTGGGTTAGCGTTGGTTTCTGAATCCAAAATCACCAGTGTTTTGTCAAAGATTTCCGTGTCAGAAACCCACGGTAAATGTAATATTGCTAATATTATAAATGCGAAAGTTAATATGGATGTTTGTTTGGTATCTCCAGAACGGCTCAATTGATCTTGATGAAATTTGGCACAGATGTAGAACACAACCTAGAAGAACACACAGGTTACTTATTAACGTTTTAATTCTTCGCGGACGGAGTCGCGAGTCATGGCTAGTACTAACTTATATTAAAAAAAAACTACAAGACAAAAAGGTAAAATGAAAAGGGTAATCAAAGTTATTTTACATTTCAAGTAGTTTTTAGAACCAACTGAACAAAACATTTTAAGATATGATTTATTATTTTAATTTAAAGCTCAATTTGAGGTTAGAATTATATTTTATATTAAAGATTAATTTATAACCCGCTATATATTTCGTTGAACATCCACTCAGCTATCACCACGTCAAAGTGTTCAGATGGGTCATTAGGTAGTTTCTGTACTGCTGCGTTCTCAAATGTCTTCTTTGTCACGTTCACTGTCATGTGGAAGAGCAGATCCTGATCCATTTCCACTTCATGCTTCATTAAAGCTTGTACGTTTAATGCTTGGCCTGTACAGAAATTGAGACCTTGTTGTCGTTTGAGTGTCGATTTAGACGGCAGCCGCCAATAAGGTTGCCACTCTTTCAATCTATACTAATATTATAAAGCGGAAGAGTTTGTTTAAACGCGCTAATCTCGGAAACTACTGGTCCGATTTCCAAAATTCTTTTTTTGTTGGATAGTACATTTATGGAGAAAGGCTTTAGGCTTTATAACATTACGCTGCGACCAATAGTTTCTATTATTATTTAACGTTATTAATTTTAGTTAAAAATGTACTACGTTAGGAAACGTAACGTCAGCATAATTTTATAAACTACCCACCATTCACAGCATAAATATTGTCCGCAACGTTTATCTGTCGAAGATTCTGGTTCGAATTTTTCTTAGGAAATGGTGTGATGTAGGTCACCTAAAATACAAAAAATATATAAGTATAATAATCTTATAAAAAAGTGTTTATTTAATTTTAAAATAATTAAGATAAAGATTTAAATATCTACTATTGTAAAGCAACCAATTTAAAAGGACTCTAGAGCTAATTTAATTAACTACAGTAGCCTAGTACTATTATAGACACATTAAAATGGCTGTATTATTAAAAATTAGAATAGATAGAATCGAGTCGATATTTAGAAAAACTTGAAAGCGCGAAGCTCTTTTTAAGGTTATGTTAGAACAACCTATAGGTACACTATGTCTATAGGTTCCTAGACGAATATCTTACTAATATTATAAATGCGTTTAGATGGATGTATGTTTGTTTAATTGTATCTCCAGAACCGCTTAATGGATCTCGATGAAATTTGCCATACATATGGAGCATAGTTTGGAAGAATACATAGGCTACTAATTATGTTTTTTTCATTCCGCTAGGACGGAGTCGCGGTCAACAGTTAATCTATGTATATATCTATGATTATAATACTAGTAATTACCTCATGACCAGCTTTAAGCAAATGCCTGACGTATCCATCACCGAGGTTACAATGACTGCCCGCAGGGAACGGGAACACCACCAAGATTTTAAACGCATCACAAAGTGTAATACACAAACTAATAGAAAGAACAATTAAAGTTATTAAATGCACCATTTTTAAGCGTCCAGAAGAATACAGAGATTTCTATTTATCTAAAATCATTCGTACAATCTTTTCGATGAACCAACACTTCCGTTTAGGTTATTTTCACAACTTAAAAAAAATATTTTAAAAATTTTAAAATAAATTTACTTTCCAGTAAAAGTTTCTTATTTTAGTAACTTTTTAATATATTTTTTATTATTTAGTATCGTAACATGTCTGTACTGTGTACCACATGACATCTCGACTAAACAACGTTAAGATCAGATGAAAATGACCTTGAACTGACTTAACGCATTATCAATTCAACCACAGAGTTGTTTATGTAATATGCTAATGATTCCCTTAGGACGACGAGTCATTTCTTTCTAATTTATATGTAAAGGTTAACTACGATTGACAATAGTCAAACTTACTAATATTATAAATGCGAATGTTTAGATGGATGTTTGTTTGAAGGTATCTACAGAACGGCTGAACGGATCTCGATGAAATTTGGTATATGGATGTAAAGCATAGTCTAATTGCATTGTTTTTAATTCCGTGCGGACGAAGTCCTAGGCGACAGCTATTTTGCCATAAAAATCTCGTACTATAAACGCAATTTTATGATAACTAGTTAGGCATAAACAAAACGCTACTTTTTAGATGAGTATTATTGGGGGGAAAGCGAAAGGTTAGTGCCAGAATCAGTCAAGATAACGAATAAAAAATACTGGTCGAAAATTTGCATTTAAAATTCATTTATAACTCTATGGTAACATTATCTGATGTTCATTACAAAGAAATACGTTATTAAAGTACACAATAGCGAGAGAAGCATTGTTTAAGTTGTAGACTCACTTGACATACGATACGTAGGCTTATTATTAAACAGATAAAATGTTATCTAGAATTTACGTAATACCATACTATTCTTAACGTTTGTGGTTAGAGATCTCTAAATTTTTCCGTTGACATTTGACTTCAAGAACATTCTTACTTTAATCGCTTTACTTCTGGAGGTAAAGATAGATAAATCTCGTCAGTTAGCGCCGACTGAAATCCTGTTGGTCTCGCGAAGAACTTTATTAGAAATGATCCTATGAAGAAAGGTCTTTAAAATCTCCAGTGGTAGAGCTAAGTCGCGGGTTCTCTGATAAGAACCCAGCCGCAACTTTTACTTATTACAAAGTTCTAAGACTTTGAGTGTCTCGAAGTAGGGAATACATAGCCATGTTCTCTAAGGCCCAAGGCTCCGGCATGAATGTTAGAGAACAACATGGCATGGAAAGTTTGGATTTTGGCGCTAGCAAACTTTAATTATTAGTGGCTTATTAAGAACCACTAACTGTGGTTTTCTGAGACCGAAATACTCGTTTAAAACATATTTTTATCTCTACTTTATCCAAGATAATGACAAGGACCATATTATCTTTATACATATTTTAGTCTCAGAAACTGAAGGTTAATCTGTAACAAATCCTCAGTCCTTTACTAACGGTGGGTTTCTGAGACAATAATCTCCATTTAAAACGTAATGCTATCTCTGATTTGTCAAAGATAATGACAGGGATGACGATATGGTTTATACAAAGATTTTGTCCTTAGAAATCTACGGTTTGTAAATACAAGTTATAGGTAGTTAAGGTTATTTTTTAATTTATTGTCTTCTATTAATACCAGTAGCAATACTTTCTAATAAACTTTAATATATAAGTGGGCATTATCAATAGGATTTAATATATCAGCAATATTGTCCCGTTCAAATTAATGAACTTCATATCTCGAGTGGGCAAATAAATTCGATATACAGCTTAATATAACAACTTCAGTTTTCGTTATAAAAGAATCGACAATATTCGAGTAACATCATTCTGAATTAAGACCCTACTAAATATTGATATATAAAAAATGAAGTTAGCAGTCATTTTCTGTATGTTCCTGGCTGGATGCAATGCGTGGATGGACAAACCACAGATATACGGTGAGTTTCATTTTTAGGTTATTTTCGGTTTTAAAAAAGTAAGCCAAAAAAAATAATTCACGAATTTGTAATTTCTTCTATAATTTTCTGTCACGATTTTCTTTTAATTTCTACTTATTTCAGGTTCACAAAGATGCGTTAATATGTGGGATGAAGGCTGCATCAATGGACAATTGCCTGGATCTGGTAATTATTCAAAATTACGGCATATTGCCACAAAAATAATTTTCAAACATAAAAAATCAATTAAATTGTAACTATTTAAACGCGCCATCAATCACAATATCTTTGAAAATTGATAAATACAGATAACAGAATATTTTTGAAGATGTATTTAGTCAAGAACCACGTTAACGAGCGGTTAATGTTCAAGTGCTTTTGACCTGTAGCCTAAACGATTTTACTCCTGTCAGTCAAATTTTATTTATTATTACTTAATTTTTTTTACAGGAGGCGATGATGACTATCTTAACGGTGGATTCAATCCAGGCAAACGCTGCATTAATATGTGGGACGAGGGATGTATTAATGGACCTCTTGGAGGTTCTGGTAAGCGTTTAGAATACATTCCTTGGACTTCATTCTCAAAGAATTCCTATCTGTCTGAGTAAAGTGTGACCATAAGTGTTGTCCTGGTCAGGATTCCTTAACATACCTAGATACAGTGAACTGTGTTCTGAACATAAAGTTTGCATCACACTGTACTAATTTTATAGGAACTATAGTAATGAAGTCAACACCACAAACATGCTAGATTATTTTAAAGCAAAATAAGACCTTATCTTTTTAATTATACAAAAGACTCATGACATTTATGTTTTTCAGGCAGCGATGACGACTATCTAAACGGCGGATTTACTCCCGGCAAGAGATCTCTGTACGAACGTCTTCAAAAACTGCGAAAATCTCAAAAACATCAAAATGTTTAAATCTATTCCTATTTATTTTAAATATTTATTTAAATCACCATTACTAATTTACATGCTTATATTTTATAAATACATTGTTTTCTCTTCAATACGTATTATTTCAATTAATATACCGATAAACCAAGGTTCATATAATGCTGGCTTAAAAACCGTAGCGTAAAAAAGTATTTGTTAAAAAAAAGCATATTCCAAATGCAAAAATAACTTATTAAAATCTGTTGTCGTGGCTGTTCTGGATCTGTGTGTTCGAAACCATCTGTGATATTATAATTATTTAGCACACGGTCAAGTGAATTGGCTTTGCCTCAAATATTTCCAAGGTCAATGACATCTAGTGACTATTGTATAAAAATACAAAAAAAGTTATAGCCTCGTAACTCGTTATCGAAAAAATGCAATTGAGATACTTAAGGAATATACAGGTTAGGAAATTAAAACACAATATAACTATCAAACTTTATTAGTATGACATAAAACTGTGCCTTACGCACCTATTTAAAAAGAACATATAAAAATATTCAATACCGCATTAATTTTGCAATACAATTACAACTTTCAATTGCTAACTAATCTAATGATTTATTTCCATCAATACAAACGCTAAAAACACAAGTTAACATATTTCTAATCTCCGATTTAAAGTCAAGGGAATATACATTTTGAACGGCCCCCTCCATCAAACATTATGAAATTAATTGACCGATTTAAACGATATGTATATTGAAAAATTTATAAATCTGCCTATACCTTTTCCCTGACTTCAAGCCCACTAAATCTATCTGTCGTTATCTACTGGACGTTAAACACATTAACTTTAAGGCTTAGAATTGCTTGGCAAGTTAAAATTAAGTTACAACTATAAAGGTAAATTACAACAGTCTGATAAGTTATCAAATATTTGTAGTAGTATAACCTGTAAGGTAAAGTTTGTAAACAAAATATTTCCAACAACTTTTGAGTTAGACTTCGTAAATTCTATTATAGAATATTTCCTGGTACCAACATAATATAACCTCAAAACACTATTATGCAACATTTTCGATAATATTTTTTTATTTATTTACAGCCAGTGCTAATAATTTGTTTACAAACTTTAAGTTTTAGGTTAGAATCGTAAATTTTCTACACACAAGTGATTACGATTTTGAACAGTCCTTAAAAGGCACAAATGGAGAAACAGTATGACAGAATAAGCCTTGGCGTATATACAATAATATTGTTAAATAGCGTATGGGAAACGGAAAAAACAGTAAGATAAATAATTATAAAATAAACTATAAAAATATGTATTTGGGATTTAAGCAAAGATATTAAACTAAAAGCTGGACGAAGAAGGTCCGAAAAAATCCATAAAATAAATGATTTTTTTTAATGGCAATACCCGTAACCAAAAAGCATAAAATTTAATCTAATTCTGCCCATACTGATGGGCCATGGGATGAGTATTTTATTTTATACAGACAAGAATTATAAGGCAATTATTTCATTTTCTTTACATATAACATACACACATAAAAAGGGTTAATTGATTTTGTGGCAATTAAGGTCAACTAATCACAGCAAGTAAATGCATAATAATAGTTAAATTAAGAGAACTTTGTCAAAATTGTCTAATAAGCACAAGACAATATTATATTATAATAACCTTTACTTGCAGGTATACTGCAATATGTTTTATGTATTTTTTATAAGTTCATTGGTTTCAAATATGCATCAATTGCATGGGTATCAAATAAATATATGAAAAATTACGTGTTAAGTATGTACTTAGATTGCGTAATTTAACACCGTTAAATTGAACAATACAATTTAATGTTGGCACTTTTATGACCATTGGTCATGTAAACACAAATAGCATACTGTTTCTATGTACTGATTCTTGGAATACCTACTGGAATCCATATTACATTTATAAAAGACAACAGTCTTATAGTATATATTTAGATATTTTTTAACTTATATTTTGATTGATAAATAATTGAGGCAAAATGGCAAATCACTGGGCAAAATTTCATAAAATGGCGAATGTTTATAGACACTTTTGACAAAGATTTTTAAACGGTGGGACATAAAGCATTGTACTTTTATTAGGAAAAAACTTATAACGTAAATTCAGGCAAAATAATTAATACACAAAAAAGGCTAAAACGCTATTGTAAAGCATTTTTTAAATCTAAATTTATACTGGGTGTTAAAATAACATATAATTGACCCGATAAGTTACAACTCATTAGATAACTTTTATTTCTTGCATGGGTTTATTTATTTCCCCTTTGAATTCTAAAGTTAATTCATTATTATAAATATCATCAGGTTTCCGAAGCCAAAACATTAGTTCATTAAGGAACTTTTTTATAACTATGACAAAGTTCGTTAATTTATTGTAAACAGACATTTTAATAAATATTTCAAGTTTTTCAATTCAACTGAAATGTTTTTACACTATCACAGGTCTAAAAGATACATGTTGATATATAAAAATCATTTTTCTATTGTAAAATTTAATTGACACACTTTAACCTCCTTCTTGCAACCTATCTAAATGTAAAACTAGAGATCTGATTTATAATCTATATAAGTACCTATTCAAAGAATTTTTGTTTATATATCTAATAAAAATATTTGTTAAACATTTAATATAAATAATTGTTAGTGAATCATAATTTAATTAATTTGTCCATGCCAATGTTCTTGGCTATACTGTGGCATATCCACTGGCATTTTATTGTAAGCTACGTTCATATTAGGTGCCGGAGTAGCAGGCGCCTTTTGAGCATTCGCTTGCCTGAATTTCGTGGAATATTTATAGAAATCGGACATTTCAAATGGCTTCGTTTCCTCTCTATATGGTATACATTTACCCTGTTCTATAACAGTCATGTTTTTCGGTGACTCCAAGGAGACCGCACTAGGGGATAAGACTGGAGGACTATGCGGAATCAAGTGAGGACTCTGCATCGCTGAATGCCTACCTGATGCAATCATTACTTCGTATGGCTGTGAATTACCAAGACTAGGTGTGCGTTTCAAACTAGAAGTCTTCTTTAAAAGTGGCATTTCAGGTTTTGTTGGTGAATCCAGAGATGTCTCGTACCATTGTTTTTCTTTTACTTTACCATCGGCTTGAGAAAGTGGTGAAAATTTGTTCATACTTACAGAATCAAAGTTACCTTGAGAGTAGCCAGACATTTGGCTGACGGGACTTAAAGCATCAGGGTAATGTTTTCGATCTTCGAAACCGTAATCATCTGTAGATACTTGCAGTTGCATGTGAATCGGATTTCTTATAACATTACGTTCTCGTAATGGTAGAGAATTTGGTACAGTAACCAATCGTTCGACAGGGTGCATTCTTTCAGCTGGCTGTTCCTGCATATCATGTTGAGATCTGTGCTGATACACAGGGCCTGGTGGTCTGTATGCATCGGACATGTTTTCTAAATGTTGATTGTAGTCACTATGTGACGTAAGGTGATATGTTTGCGTCCTTTGTAATGTGTTCCGGCGCACACCATCGTTACGTCTTTTCGATTGCATTTGCATTTGATGCTGGTATGCTAATGCACCTAAATGTTGACTTTGAGCCTTCAAGTGGGATGCATATTGATAAAGTAATGGTGTATTTCGTACACCATTCTGCTGGGGAACCGGTTGAGGTGCAATCGTGCCATGAGTGTAGTGTGTGGTGATATCTGGATGACTTGAACTGAAGTGTGTCTCTCGTAATCTTGTGGCATTGTGACCCTCCATAGGATTATTATAATACATACGATTTGTATACTCAGTTGTCATAGTATGATGTCTGTAGATGGGGCCCTGCTGTAACTCATTCTGTATATTTTCAGACGGGCCTGAGTCATGGCGGCCTGCTAACGCAGGATAGGTGTGTGAAGTGTGTATGGAAAATGTTTCAGGATTCCGCTCTTGCGGTGGCGACGGAAAGAAATTCGAACAACTAGTTTCAGGACGACGCAATTGTCGAGGATGCGAGCTTTTAGACATGCCCGATATTGATGGGGTTGATAACCTATGACACACATTTTTACGAACATTTGGATCACACTCAAGTATACGATCTGTCGGCCCAGTTCTGATGCGTCGTGATGAGGTATCCGATCCATCTTGAACGTCTGTACCGTCTGTGGACCTTTCTGCACTACGAACGCTACCCAAACGTTCTCTTTGTGGCACTTCAGGACTTAGAGGTGCTTCCGGTGGCATAACACCCGTTAATTGAACTTCTTGAACACATAATTTGTACAATTCTTCATTTTTTGATAAAAGCATTTGCTCCAATTCTTTCTTTCGAGCTTGCAACTTCAAAAGTTTGTCCTGCTTATCAGAATGTAAATCACTCCCCATTGTGCTGGTACCCATATTCACAACACTACACAATACATTAATGAAACTGAAAGGAGAAACTAAGTAAAGTTTTACTTATAAGAATAAAAAGAAACATAAACAAAGAAAATTATTAAGTTAGAACTTTATTGACACCTTACATGGTTCACGCCAAAGCAAAGATTATAAAATTCACGCTTCTGATTTGACTATTTGATGTTGCTCTGTGCAGTTAAAGCAAACGGAGTATTGCCAAGTGCCAAAAACAGACTAGGCATAACCCTAACAAAACTAATCACACATATTTTATTGTTATTTAACATCGGGTCAATCTGCTATGAATGCACAAAACTTTAATATTATCTTTTGAAATCGAGATCTTAATCTGATTGTCGTATTTTAGATTTTAAACTTAATAATGACATTGACATATTAACATGAGACAAATCAAAATGACAGAAAAACTTTGACAAATTGAATTGTGCCACTGCCAACAAGTGGCAATTCAAATTTTTATTTTAATGACTTCTATTACATTTTAGTTGTAAGGTTACTGATACCATTCCTGATATTTGAATATAAAAATTTACAACAATATAGAGTGACAATGTCGAAGGTATATAGAGCTTTGATATCGGCTACAGACAAATTTGTCCCAAATAAACTTCGTCCGCTATGGGAACACGAAGCTGGTAAGAATTTTAACAATTCTTCTCGTTATATGATTTCTTAGATATTTTTATAACATGAAGTATTTTCCTTTAGGTCCCAAAACCATATTCTTTTGGGCTCCAGCATTTAAATGGGTATGTATGTCAATATATTAGACATTTCAAGGTCAGCCTATATTTATTTAGACCTTGTCTAAGGGCAATGATAAGTTATCTACGTTGTTAGAATACAACGTAACAAATATGTATTGATATTAAAAATTCTTAACAGCACCAAGTTTATTTTTGTGATATGGAATCAATATTTGATTAATATATATCCAAGAATAATTGTTTTTATTTAGGTATTAATCAAATCTAATCCATTCATCCAGTCTACTGTGAAATTTTCATTCATTTGAATTTATTTCAATGAAAATTACATACACCCACACTTACTAGGATTGTTTCTCAATATTTATTATATTAAATGATATTACATGAAGGACATTACAAATGTAGAAAGCAAATGCAGAGTATAACGGAAAATTTGTCATTTCCATTTCATCGCAGCATGAGTTCAACAAGTTTCCATCGATCCAGGTGCTGTGGATAACATCCTGACAACATATTCATCCTTCCAGGGCTTGGTGATAGCAGGTTTGGGTGACCTAACTCGACCTGTCGAGACATTGTCCATACCCCAGTCCGCATCCCTAGCGGCGACAGGAATTATTTGGTCGCGTTATTCACTTGTTATAACACCAAAAAACTACAGCCTGTTTGCGGTTAATGTATTTGTGGCGATAACTAGCCTTTACCAAATTGGAAGAGCTTATAGACACCAATCTATACACAAAAAGGAATAGTTTGTCTGAATATTTTCGGATTGTGGTTTAGATTACTGGGTATCAACTGTCTGTGTGCTACTGCACATAGATAATGTAGATGAAATAAATAGATAATTTATTAGTTTTACGACTAGATAATTATTCGAACGACACAATTTATAGTATCAGAACAAAAAAGTTTAAAAATATTGCACATTTCGATACTTATCAGTAATGTTACAAAAATCGTTAAATGTTATAATGGTGCTCTTTTCTTTATAAGTGTTACGTTTCAAATAACATGTCTGTGATACAGTATGTTTAAATATTTTAAATGATTTAACTTACACTTTGACATTTTTAATCTGTGATGTAAAAGAAAAATAAATCAGCCACTTTTGTTGACACTGGCTGTTTAATTTTCTTGTTTTACCGGATTAAAAAAATAACCAGCATCTAGTATAGTATTACTAGAGTTGGCACATTTAGCGGAAGAGTAGTCTTGATTGCGGTGTGCCAAATCAAATGCAGGTTACTATGTTGGGTGTATAGACAACACTGTTCACGTTATCACGGGTATTGTAAATCATGTTAGAAAAATTAAAGTAATATTGTTAAATTATATTGTCTATTTTTGTATGTACGCCTTTTGATAGTTTAAAAATAATATACGAATCTATTTTTATCACATATTCCTATCTTTCTTTTTTTTTTCATCTTCTCGCTATCCATCTTTCGTCTTATAATTTTTCATATATTATTTATAATTAAAAAATCTATTATCTATGGTAATGAAAAGGCATTCAAGTTCAACAAATAAGGTAATTATTGCATATCAATGCATGCATGACGTGTATTTTATGGCTTTTTGAATGCAATGCTACGTAACTAATATATTCTTTTGAATTAACATTGCATGGAAAATGAGATGTATGGAAGATCATACAACTCACGTCTCAACATCTCTACAGAGTAAATCTATGTATTGTTTGGTGTCTTGTATTATGTTCTGAATATATTGGTTTTGTTATTTAAATTCTAACAGAAATAAGGGAATAACTTGTGGTTATTTATTTAGCTAATTTTTTTACTTATATTGCATTTTTTTGTGCTATATAGTAGTGTATTTTACCAGTAGTTAGAAGTAGGTAATATACTAATATAATATATTTTTTAATATTAGTACTTAATTTTAAATTTTTATAACCTGTATAATAAAGCTTGATGTGTGTTTTTAAAGGTATATTGCTTTTTGTAGTGCATTTAACTTATAGATTATTTACGATAAATCAGATATCAGACGTATGATTAAGTTCCAAAATCCAAAATTACAGATAAAAAAAACTTTTATTATCTATGACCAACTACTTTTTTTTCATAAAATTAATTGAGATGCTGGCCACAAAATTTAAGAAGTTGTAAAATCTTTATAATCTTTGCATTTTTTTACTTATCTCCGAGACTTATTTGAACAGAATTTGATTTATTTGAACATTGCGATTACTTTTCAAGGTAAAGATAAAACATAAATAAAGCCTAGACGATCTGTTGATAAAACGTCTGATATCTGAATTACATAAACAAATATTACAATTTTTTTTATTTTTCAGGCGCTCGTTGCGGCATCTGTAGATGATTACAGACGTCCATTAGATAAGGTCTCAACCACACAATCGGCAACACTATCTGCTACAGGCCTTATCTGGACTCGTTATTGTCTAGTTATTAGACCTGTTAATTATTCATTGTCTATATGTAACTTCGCTTTAGGTGTTGCGAATGGCATACAATGTTTTAGAGCCTACCGGTACCAGAATTATTTGAAAGCTTGAAGTTTTAAAATTCTTACGCAAATAACTCCACTAATAAGTTTTAAATGATTTATATATATCTACTATTGGAATATATTAAAATTTTTAACATAAATATTTCATTCTAAGAGTACGTTCGAATACTTACATGTTGACAGAGTATTAAAAGTTTTCGATAGAAATTAATCCCTTGATTTTGTTTAAACTGATATATAAACACGGCTAAACACTCACTTATATACGTCCGGTGGCGGCACCGACTAGTTTCGAGCGCATCGTCAAGCCTTTCATCAGGATGAGTGGTACTGGTATTATTATTATATACATGAGTGTTTAGCCGTGTTTATATATCAGTTTAGTATAATGTCTCACGAAAGTTTTGATTTTGTTTCTTATGAAAATAATTTTACTGTATAATTCAAATAATTATTATCAGTATAAAGTTATATACAAAATATCTGAATTTCAGTATATATTTACCCAATGTTTTATTATTATTTATTTTAATAAAGACTTCTTTGTCCACTATGTCACAAGTGCCATTTTAAACCGAATTTATCTTAGTTAAGATGGTTTTTATTTATGTATATAATAAATGAAATAAATATTATTGTTTATTATAAACACTTGCCTGTTCAAGTTCAAATTAGTTTAAGAAAACCTCCACTTGCCATTATACAAATTATTAATAAATTGTTATATTTTATATTTGTTTTTTTTTTTAAATTAATATCTAATTAATCATCTACAATAACATTGATGGAGCGTCGGTGGCTCAGTGGTCAAGCACTTGACTTGCAATCTGCAGGTCCTGGGTTCGAATCTCGCCATGTACCATGTGCCATGTGTGTTTTTCTATTTCCGATTTACATATGTACTTCCGACGTTCTTACGGTGAAGGAAAACATCGTGATGCTGCACATATCTGAGAAGAAATTCAAAGATATGTGTGAAGTCAACCCATAATAAACCATATCCTAGCAAGCCTAGAGCTTAATTGAAATGGTATTATAAAAGAAATATTTAGTAAATTTACAAAAAAAAAGCTAACATTTAAAAATAAATATGATTTGTTTCAGTTAAAGTTAGTCAAGAGAATAACTGCCAATTATTTATTCTTCAACCATGTTCAATAATCTGTCCATACCAATAGGTCCGAAAGATCTGCCGCCATCTTCCGAAAACATAATGACATTTCTTATTACATAACACTGCATCCTTCCTATCTTGTACAATGGTCTCCCTTCTCTCGTCTTCCCCGGTATCGGTACAAAAGTTATCCCCTTTTCTATACATTTAGTTTCTAAAAGTTCAGAGAAACTCTTATGTGGGTTGGTGACGGCCAATATTTCGTTGATTTTCGACCCCTCTTTGTTATCAGGGAGGGTGAAGCGCGGGGGTGGGGGAGGCTCCACACTCTCCATGTCAGTGCTTCTGTTCATCATGTCCAACGCTTTACGGAACGCGTCACGTACCGCCGGCTCTTTTAATACCTCTTCGGGGAACATTTTCTGTAAAGATTTACAAAGTTTTTAAAAAGTAAGCGTCAATAGCTTAATGGTTAAGGGTACGGATTTCCGACCACGAGGTCGGGGGTTCGAATCCCGCCATTCGACTATTGTCGCAAACCATATCCTAGCACAAGCATAGAGCTTAGTTCGAATGGTTAAAGAAATATTAGTAAATTTACAAAAAAAATCTGCTAATATTTTATATTAAAAAAAAAAGTTTATCATCAAAAGTAAGAAACTTGTCTTCTTGTGATATGACTAATTATTGTTATTTTGTAGTCAGTTTCAACCTAGGTAGGCAACTGAAACGTAACTAGGTTAATCTCATATAAAATATCACTAATTTATTCGAACAAGATATGCAACAGATAAAGTAGAAAGTAGATAAGAGACAAAGAGAATAGCAAAAGAGAGAAGACTGGAAATTGCTACAACCTTAACTATGTTTACAGTCTGGAAGTAAAGGAAATGGAAAAACGTAACGTTCGTTATAATGTGGGCGTGGTATGTGTAAGCTCCTCCCCTTATGTTATCTGACCTTGAAGTTTGTATAAGAGTTGAGTACGGTGGCGTGGGGCGGCGCGGTGTTGAGCCAGGCGGCGAGCGCGGCCAGCCAGCGCGGCAGCAGCGCGCGTGCAGCCAGCGCGGCCACGCCCGCCGCACCCGCCACATCCACCCACTGCACGCACCACGACCACGCAGCTGACAACACACAAATCAACTTAACATACCTCTACACTGAAGACCTTGGCACCTACTCTAAGTCAGGGCTGACTATGTCATAGTCAATACTCAGTGCGGGTTGACTTCACACTTATCTTTAAATTTCTTCTCAGATTATGTGCAGGTTGCATTACGATGTTTTCTTTCAGCGTTATAACGTCAAATAAATGTACATATGTTTATGGAAAAATAAATTGAAACATGATTGGATTTGAACCCAGGACCTGCTGATTACAAGTCAACTGCTTAACCCTTGAGCCACTGATGCTCATAACATATGCGAAGCATTAATCTAAAAAAAATTAAGAACAAATTGATAACCTCTTTCTTATTGAAGTCTGCTAAAATATAAGGACTAGAAACATGTGGCGAAATTGAAATATCTATTACGTTACTAGCAAGAGAGACAAGGCACAAACAGTACAAGTTAGATGAAGAATGATAAGTTACTATTCTCTGTGGCGAGTAGTTGTACAGGCGCGTGCTGCAGACAGTGCTCCAGCTTGGGCAGCACGTGGTGGTGCAGCAGCGGGCGCAGGGCGGGGCCCCACGCGCCGCGCCACGCCGCCAGCAGCTCGCGCGCAGACCCGTCCGCCGGGTGCCACGCCGCCAGCGCCGCCGCCAGCCGCGACCGGATCAGGGGGTACGTGCTCGTGCTCAGCTCGCTGCCTGACATCGTACCATCATCACTTAAATATTGGTGGCGCTTCCAAAACATTCATCTAAATACACCAAATGTGATGGGGAAAAATGGTTTAATAAGTTACCAGCCAGTTGATGCCATGGCAGCACCCAGTGGTGCAGCGGCTGCGTGTCCCCGGTGGGGTCCCAGGCGCGCACGGCGGCCAGCAGGCGCGGCACCACGCTGCGGCCGGCACACGTCTGCAGGATCCACTCGGGGCACGCCGCCGACCACCGCTCGAACACTGCCAGCATCGCCTCCGGCCTGCGCGGGTTCCACACCCTGCACACACACACACACAAATATAAAACGATTACTTAATTTTTCTCATTTCTATTGTTAGGAAGAAAATCCGACACTGCCGGTGTACTGGCGCAACACTAGCCTTACTAAAATGTCGACGTTTATGTCCCCTCACTAATCATTTCAAAACTTTACTTTATAATGAAAGCGTGCCATTCGCGCCAAAGGATTCTAACTAATCATGTCGAAAACTATGAATTTTTTATAAACGAGAGGAATTAAAAAACTCTAAGAATGATAATTACAGCGCATAGCTGTCGCCCTACACTCCGTCCACGCGGAATTTAAAAAAACTTAATCAGTCTATGTGTCCTTCCAGACTATGCTCTACATGTGTGCCAAACTTTATTAAAATCCGATGAGTTGTTCTCGAAACACCTTCAAAGAAACATCCATCTAAAAATTTGCATCTAACAATGAAAAAATTTTTCAAATCGATTCAGTTTCAGAGTCTATGCAATACAGACAAATCCTCATTACAATCCTAGTATAAATTACGACAAAAAAAAATTGTCACACTTACTCAGCTGCAGACGTGATCCTTGGCATAAAGTGTTGCCAGAGCAGACTGTTATACGCTGGTTCTGTCAACAACTTCTTCCATTTGAGGAAGACAGGTACAGGCTCGTCAGGACACTGTAGCGGCTCCCACTGAGCCAGCAGCGCACTGATCAATGGACTCACTATAGTTCCACCGATTGTACCCAAACCGAACATCTCATATTCAACAGGAAATGACTCCTAGAAAGAAATTTACATTGCACTACTTGTCGCACACGACTCCGCCCGCACAGTAGTAAAAATCTTAATTAGGAACTATGTGTTGTTCCAGACAGTGTTCTATATCAATGCCAAATTTCAGCGAGAAGCATATAGCCGTTCTGGAGATACCTTCTAACAAACATACATCCATCCATCTAAACATTCGCATATATAACATTAGTAAGAAGTATCATAAAACAATATTTTTCAAATATGTTTACGCCTCAAGTTCATCACTACAACATTGTGTTTTGCGTAACCACTCGTACGATGTTCCGAGCAGTCAAGACATTTGGAAAATACAATAATGTACTCGTTATATACGAAATTAACTTAGGAACGGGTAATATGTCTAATCGACTAGGTTGGCAACATTGCCTTAGATATTTATATATGCTGAACCCAATAATCTCAGAGTTCAGTATTTGCCAAAAAGCAATTTAAAAAACTCATTTTCATTTAACGAGTGAAAGCACAAAGAAATTATATAAATCTTCAAATAGATTTTTAACTTTGACCGACTAATTTTAATTTTATATACATAAGTCCAATTTAACTTTTATATCTACCCTCACAACTCTTATAAAAACCTTATTTCTAATAAAATTATAAAAACATACCATCAAATCTTCTAGAACTTCGTAAGCTTTCTCCAGAGATAGGTCAGGTTTGTTCAATTCTTCTATCCTGTGTGTTATGGTTTGCACTTTGTCTATCACCACGTCTTGTTCTTGAAGTTTTATGTTACACTCTTCTAAATCTCTTTCTAATACTACTATTTCATCTTCTGCTGCTTGAAGTTCACGAGCATTTTGGATAATGTCCTATAATCATTAAAATACACTTTTACATATGTAAAAGATGTTATTTTTTTTTGTGTAGCATATGTTACACAAAAACAATTCATAAATAAATACGCTTAGTACTAACGTTTGCGCTAGTGGTAGCCACGCCCATTTCTATTATATTTACGCCCTTCATTTAAATCGAAGGGTCTTATAAGGTGATGTTTAAAACCTCACACGCGGACCGTAAATCGATTTTACGGTTTTCCACAGATTAAAAAGAAAATAATAGGAAATATTGCTTATAGGAAATAAAGTATGTTTTTTTCACCTCATAGAAGACAAGGGGGCTAAAAGCAAGAAAAACACAGATGTTCAACGACGTCCATGGACATATGCAATACCAGAAGATACCGAACTAAGGCTCTGAGTTGTAGGGGTTTAGAAATACCTAAATTTTTACTACTTTTTTTGCACAGATCCTCCTACTAGCTGCCGCCCTTGACTTCGTCTCCGCGAAACTAAAAAGAAATGAGTAGCCTTTGTATTCTTCCAGACATTCAACATCTATACTAAACATCAGCTAGATCAGTGCAGCTGTTCTGCCACTGATACCTCTGCTACTGATACCTTTAAACATCTATCCATCCATCCAAACATTCGTAGACCTACCTGTTCACAGCTGTCGACCACAAGCTGCAGATTGTGTGTGAGTTGAGGTGCTGCGAAGTGTCGTAACTGACGACGTGGTTCATGTTCATAGCGGGGTGCAGCAGCAGCCAGCGCGTGGTAACCACTCAGTACTCGTTTCTGCTTCCCCGTCATGTCTATCACCGGCACACGGGCCAGCTCACTACTGTTTACCAATTTACTAATATGTACTTTTGGACATTACTAGCTGTCGCCCGTGACTCCGTCCACACGGTATTAAAAAAAACTTAATTAGCCCATGTGTTTTTTAGGCTATGTTTTACATGTGTGCCAAATTTAATGAATTGTTGAGCCGTTTCGGTGATGCCTTCAAACCAACATCCATACATCTAAACTTGGATTTGGATGGATTTTTGTTTGAAGGTGGAACAGGTCAATGGATTTTGATGAAATTTGAGACACATATAGAACATAGTCTGAAAGAACACATAGGCTACTTATTAGGTTTTTTTTTAATTGTGCACAGACGGAGTCGCGAGCAACAGCTAGTCGTTTAATATTATTGAACTTAGTAAACAAGAAAAATTATTGTTCTTTCCTTCCTAACAAAGTTGCTGATAATGGAATATTCTAGAAGTACCTGCCAATAGTATGCATCGTGGGTTTACCCTCTTGTATGACATCCGCCGCATCTCTGTAGAAGTAACGTCCCTTGTGAGATTTCTTCCAGTTATAATTCTTCTCTGAGGTACCTTTTTCTTGGTCTTCCTTCTCTTTAAGCCGTTTTTCTTCTTCTTTTTTGGCTTTTTGCTTAAAAACGGAAACAATGCTAAGTTACATATATGTTACATGTTACTATTTTATCAATTCTTCCAGCGAACAGAAAATCCCAGAAATGTTTCTTCCCAGTAATGTTGAATAATAAAAACTAACCTAGATGTAGTCTTTAGCCACCACAGAATACTTCAAACCTCTCAATTAAGGCATACGAGCAGACAATAATTAAAAAACACAAATGTTACTTAAACCACGTAATAGAATTGAATCTTAAAATACAATATTTTTACTTACAGTAGATTTTTCAGGTCCATAAGCACCAATAGCTCCGCGCCCTTTCCTTACAGTCGCCTCCACAGGTGCAGATATACCTTGAAGTTCTTTACCAAGACCTTTACCAGGTTGGTAACCCATCTGTAAGGAATTAATACAAATCTTACTAACATAATATATATGAAAGTTTATATGGATAGATGTCTGAAGGTAACTCCTACACGGCTGAACAAATCTTGGTTAAATTTGGCACAGATGCAGAACAGTCTGGAAGAACAAATATTCTACTTATGAAGTTAGATTTTAATTTCGCGCGAGTAGAGACGGGGGCAAAAGTTAGTATTTATTTACAAGAATGATAGGAGATATTTTATAGTTGTTTAACTATTCAAAATGTTATCTGAGAGCAAAATAAGGCAAAAAAGGGAGAATGAAAAGTAAGAGGTGCATTTGTTAACCCATATGGCATAAAGAAATTATTTTTAATCATAAAAAATATAAAATCAATTAAAAATTCTATTATTGTCCGAATCTTAATATAATTACTTTCAATTTCATAATTATTATTATCTACATATTAAATTAAGGTGCTACAGTTTCAGCAACCATGACTTGCATATATTTTTGATGATTTTATTAGGTTTTTGTCAAAGATTTTTGGTTCTTGACAGGATTTTCTCATTACCTGTAGTAATAATTTAGCACCAATGCCCTTAGTATGTTTCTCCCATGCTCCAACACTTCCACCAAGATTGGCTGGCTTCAGCCCTTGACCTAGTCGTCTTATTCCAGCAGTGTCGGTGGGTAGTGGCTCATCATTGTCATCTTCATCAGAACTATCTACTATTAATGGTCTAGATGTTGATGCTTCTTTTGATTCTAATTCTGTGAAATGATACAGAAATATTTATGCAACAAGAAATTATATGAATTGAATTAAGGAATTTACATTTTAAAAACAGGGACTAAGAGACATAGTAATGATTCTATTAAACATTCTCAGTAGAATTACTGCTATTTAATTATAACATAATGTTTAAGCATAATCCAAGTTTAATTCTGTTCCAGAAATTCACAATAGGCTTATATATTCCAGTGTTCTTGTATACGTTGGTTTCAGGTTCTCTCTATATATTTTTACAATTAAAGTAAAATTGGGCTGTGTTTTTAATAAATAAGGCCTTAATTTGTAGTTACCTTTATTTGGATCTTTCTTTTTGCCCGCTTGCTGTACCCCACCCGCCACAAAACCAATTGGTGCTGTAAAGTCTTTTTGTTTGCGAGACCTCTGCCTTATATTGTCTTCATTGTCTTCTTCATCACTGTCCTTTGCCCAAACACCTAAAGAAAATGTCAGTTCTATGTTAATTACCAAAACCTATAGTTATACTAAAAACCTTTGAAACTTGTCATTATAAATTTATGTCAACAAAAATGAAATCTTTATGTCTTACCATAAATTTGATGCTCTTTTTTAGCTTTTCTCTGTCTGTTTGGATTGAATTCGTTGTCCAGGTCATAATCAGTTATCTCGAAACGTATAACTTCGTCGTCAGACATCTTGCACTATAGAAAATAATAACGAGATATATGATCAACAAATACAGAATAAAAGTTTAATTATTTTCTAAATTATGATGATAGTAATATGAGGACACGTACAGGTTAAGTATATTTTTATAATTACTTAGCGTATTAATAGTGAATATAGGAATACTAAGTATTTAGTAGCGTAAGGGTAGTCAGTATTAACAAAGTTTGCCTCAATGTTATTCACAATCACAAGCCACCCCTCGTAAAACTCGAGCCAATGTTTAAAAAAATTGTTGTTGTGTATCTTAGCTTGTCATTTTGTTATTTTTTGACGTTGACAATTAAGCATTGACTTACGGTAAAATAAAAACAAAGACAATCTATTCTTACTGCCACTAGCAACTAAACTTGAACGTGGTTATTATCAGGAAAATATCTTTTATCCTATTACTTTATCCCTTTTTCAAATTATCAAACAATATAATTTGAAATACTTAATAAATTAAACTGAGAATAAAATTAATTGAAATCACAAAAGGATTTCTTATTGGAAACTGGACGTACGTTCCATTCTATCATTTTGTCAAGTTTGTATTCTTCAATTTTGACGTAATAAAATAAAAATGCTATGAACCAAAACATTTATTAAAATTATTCATCTAATAAACAGTTAATTGTATGTGATGTAAATTGCAACAGCTAAGATGCTTAGCAGATTTTCCGATGTCCTACAAACCGCTGCGGACGTAGTAAGTTTTATTGTTTTTGTAAATAAAAGTATTTAAATTTTCTATCACCAAAAGGACTAATGATTTTTTACTTACATATTAGCTTGCGCCACCGGCTTCTAGGTTAGAGGACTTTCAATATCATTGGAAAATGATAATCCATTTCTATCAGAATTACGATGATTGTAATAAAATCCACATAGAAGATACAAGGATTCCTCATCATTTCCATCAAATGTTACAGGTTAGCTTATTATTTGTATTTCATGGTCATTTCATTGTTTATTTATTATTCGCGGCCTTCATCTTTTACCTAGTTATTTATTATACAACATAAATTGAACTTAAAATATTCGTTATTAATATTGGCAAAAATGTCACATTAAATGTTTTATAACTTTCCATATATTTAAATGTTTAAGCACATCAGCACAAGGTTAATGTTTATGTTAAATAATTGTTCTAAATACGTCTTTGTTACTGTTTTACTGTCTTTGTTACTCTTTTAAGATAACATGCAATAAGTTTTACTGTCAAAAGTATAGTAAATATTTTATAACCAAAGTAGGACATGTCATCTTTCAACCATATCACCATGTTTCAAGGCAATCCATTTTTTTATTGGATTGTCAACCCTTCTTAGTTATGTGTATGAGTTATGTCATAGTAATAAACCATTTCTTTTTAGCTTATAGTAGATGAAGAGAAGGAACAGCAAGGTGGTACTGTTGGTCCATGCTTAGAGGCTGTGGTGCAGAGATCAATATGCTGGTTGGATGCTCTAACAGCGCTTGCAGCGGCCGACAGACCTCCTGGTGCAAGGTCATTAGCTTTGACCACTGGGACTGCGTTATTGAGGCGGACAAGACAACCTTTTGTTAATAGTGCACATGTGTTCAGGCCTTTACAGGTGGGACATATTCAATAACTCATTCTTATAGCAGTTTTTTTTAATTGTAAAGATTTTTTTTATAACTTAATTTTGTTTGTATTTAGTTAAGATCACTTAGACATATATATTTGATGGTTTTAGAATCATTCTTTTATAATTCGGATTTTGTTTCATATGGTACCACTACTTTGGATGTACAGTCAGCTGCATAAATATGTATTATATTTGCAGACATTCACAATCTTTTTCTGTATATACTTTTGGTTTTGAAAATATGTTTGAACTAATTGGTCCCTATACTTCCCTTTATGAGTACATGCCCTTGATGAATACATATGTAAATATTTTTGAAATCTATAAAAGTTTATAAATGTATACATATTGATGTAGCTGACTGTACATTACTAGTGCTAAGGGACAATTTATGATAACAATAACCAACATTTATTAATTATTCCATCTAATTTTCAGAGGATGTTAATACAATGCAATGAAAATCCTGCTTCACCTACGGAAAGAGAAGAAGTAGAGTTATTATTGACTCTATGTGGACTGGTCAGGAAAGAGCCTGGTCTTGCCAATATATTTACAACGCCGTTTGTAGAAGATAAATCAAGTTTACTAAGCATACCTGAAGATATACAAAAATTAATACCGTTAAAAAGCAAAGTGCAAATGCCAAAGAAGAATCCGTTATTTGAAGTTGAAATGATGCCAAATCCTATGAGAAATATATCCATAGTTAGAACTAATTCTAAAGATGATAGTGCGGTTACAAAGTCTAATAGTTCGATTGCGGATGACAATGCATCTTGTAAAAGTCAGAAGACGGTTTACGAGGATAATGATAAGTTTCTCTTGATTGATTTGTTGCTGTCTTATTTAAATAGTGCTGTAAGTATGATATATAATTTTATAATATATAACTGGGTTAAAAAACAGATAGTAGTTGAATTCTGAATATGCATATGAAATATTATAAAAATTAGTCAAATCTGTTTCGGAGGAGTATGGTAACTAACATTGTGACGCGAGAATTTTATATATAAGACAAGCTTTTGCCCGCATCTTCGTCTTTAATTAAAAACTAATTGTAGTTTTGGAGTTTAATATATTTAACACAAATAATAATAATATTTGTGTATTTCCGTTTGACTCATATCAAAGTTACATATTATATGTTAACCTTATCTTATCTTTTGCCATTAAATATACGAGTTTTGCAACTTGATTATCATATTACTAACAGTTTACATTCCAGTATTATGAAAAATTTATCGTAATTTCTTACAAATAACTGTTAGATATGGGTTTAACTATTTTAACTAATTTCATTGTGACTTCTAACCAACTTTGAAAATAGATTTGTTATTTAATTTGTATTGTACAGTAATATCATAGTAATATTCGAAATTATGGATGGATGGATTTCATTACATATCTCCAAAACGACTTAACGGATCTCGATGAAATTTACAATAGGTGTAGAACATAATCTGGAAGAATACATAGGCTATCTACCAAGTTTTTTTTTAATTCCGCACAGACGAAATCACGGGCAAAAGTTAGTACGGTAAAGATAGGTTGGTAGTTCAGATTGCAAATGTTTTATTGACCTACATTATTAAAACTTGTGAACCCATAACTTTATCCCGTCATCATTCACCACCACCGTCGTTCCCCCCGACAGCGTATACCCCCTCCGTGGCTTCCGTAAACCTCAGATCCATTTTTTTTTCTCCGGGAGACCTCAAGGAACACTTCTGCTTTTTAATTAACTGCTTTGTTTTAGGACAACCAAGTAGTGTTGCGAGCATGTGAGGGTATCATGATAGTGTCATCATTACCAGAGGATGATATAGCCAATCTGGTGACAAGCTGCAGCCCAGTCTGTGAGACTATCATAGACAAACTGGCTGAGAAGTACAAGAGTATACCGCCACATACCGACCCCAATGATGTAGACCATTTAAATATAACTTGGGCGTGAGTTTTTCTTTATTATATTATATGTTCTATCAATATAACAATATTCATAGCGTATAAATTACATTTTTTGTGACTTTGGTCCTTCGAGTCAGATTTTATCTAGTTAAGGTTTTGTTTGTACAATTTGTTTTTTTTTTTTTTAAGAAAAATATTAACAGATTTTTTCGTAAATTGACTATTACTTCTTTTACCATTCCAACTAAGCTCTAGGCTTCTGCTAGGATATGGTTTGCGACAATAGTCGAACGGCGGAATTAGAACCCCCGACCTCGTGATCAGAAATCCGTATCCTTAACCATTAGGCGGTTTTGGTTTAGTAGATTTACAAGTTTATAATTGAAGCGCCAATAGCCTAATGTTTAAGGGTACGGATTTCCGATCATGAGGTCGGGGTTCAAATCCTGCCATTCGAATATTGTCGTAAACCACAAGCACAAGCCTAAGGCTTAGTTTGATTAGTACAAGAAATATTAGTAAATTTACAAAAATCTGGTAATATTATAATAATTTTTTTTAAATGGCCAAGCTTCAATAGACAGAGGAAGGGACACATAAAGTGGATATTTCCCCTTTCTTCCTCAAATCTACCTCAACCTTCCCATCACTGTGTAGTATAAAAAAGTGTGGGTATGGGAAGAGGACTAAATCTTGACCTAGGTAATCAAGCACCAAACCAAAGATGTTATTTGCTGGCTTACCGCTGTTTTTAATTTTAAATAAAAAATGTTTTCCCCCAATTCTTTCAATTTTAATAAATATCTGAATTTGCCTATGTTTTGTTTTTCGTCAGGTATGTGGCGCAGGATTTTGGTGACAAAGGTTACAATAAGTTCAATGGTTACCGAGAACTGACAAGTTTCTTCTCGTGGCTGGACTACTGTGATACTTTGATGAAGGTACATAATGACTTATGTACTCTTGGGAAATTTCAAAATGTTATAGATATTAATTGCTTATATACTTTGAACTAGAGCGTCGGTGGCTCAGGGGTTAAGCACTTGACTTGAAATCTGCCGGTCTTGGGTTCGAATCCCACAATGTACAAATATGTTTCGATTTACATATGTACCTGTTGTCTGACGTTGGTACGACTCAACGAATTTTAATGAAATTTGACACACATATAGATTATAGTCTGGAAGAACACATAGACTACTTATTAGGTTTTTGTTAATTCCGCGCCGATAGAGTTGCGAGCGACAGCTAGTATAGGGATAAAGGTATAAATAACTAGCTGTCGCCTGTGACTCCGTCCGCACAGAATTAAGAAAAATATCTTATAAAGGTGCCCACGTGTTCTTACAGACTATGTTCTATATGTGTGTCAAATTCAATAAAAATCCGTTAAGCGGTTATGGAGATGTCTTTAAACAAACATCCATCTAAACCAGTGGTATCCAAACTTATTTTGTCTACTGCCCACTTTGAGAATAAATATTTTTTACCGCCCCCATATTTTCACATATTTAAAAACCACTATAACTTCAAATTAAATTAATTAATTATTGTGACCTATATATGTATATTAACGGAGAATTGTAAATTAAACTTTTACTATAACCCGCAACTTGAGACCTGCAGCGCCCACAAGAGGACGTTATCGCACACTTTGGGAAAGACTGGTCTAAACATTCGCATTTATAATATTAGTGTATTTTTGTTGTTGTCAGGAATGTCACCCATGTATCGCGGCGCATTTGTCTAGAACATTCCGTGCTCAGTTCCTGGAGAGTGCGGGCGAGCTGGCGCTGGGCGGTGCTGGCAGTGCTGGAGGTGCTCGCAGCGCCACGCTGGCGGCCGCGCTGCTCGCCAAGTGTCTGCGTGTTGTTGATTCACAGGAATTAATCAATGGTACACTATTTATAACACAATATTCTAAACAGACTGTAAAACACTTATAGTAAGTTTCTGACACCTAAATCTCTGTATAAAACATATCATCCCTGTCCTTAGGGAATATACCCATACTACGTGACTTATTTTTTAGTTTTTTTTAAGACTGCGTGGATACTTAAATTACTAGTGAACTATGTATTATGAAAAAAAAACAACTAACGACTACGTCAGAAAAATCTGAGCCCCCCCCGCTCCTGTGACTGACTGTAGTATTTTGAAGACACCCCACCCCTCTAAACGAGTCACGTAGTATGGGTACGTTCCCTAAATCTTTGAGATGAGATCTATGTTTTAAATGAAGTTTTTGGGCTCAGAAACCCACAGTTTGTGGTAGACACCAGCAATACTATAATTGAATTTACTTCTCAGTACTTTTTCTCAGATTTTGACTTTATTTTATATGAGATGTTTCCTCTCTTTCTGTCCTCTGTCCATCCCCACCTTTTTCTTATAAAAGGATAGGAAGGGGAAGTAGATTTGACAGAGGAGGCGACGGATAGGGAAAGGATATCCTCTTAGTGTGTGCCTCATTTTTTGATGAAAGGTCGGCAATGCATGTCTATGGACATTGTGCGTTTCGCTATTTAGGCGAATTTTCATGGTAAATTGGTCGTTTACCTTATGTAATAACGAAATTAATATTGTTCCAGAGTTCTCTAACTGGTTGGTGGGTGAAGGTGAGATGTCAGAATGGCCGCTGTTGTTGTCACTCATCAACAACTGTCTCACAGAAGACCATGATCTCACGCTGGAGACATTGAGATTCTTTGAGGTATTTACCTACTACTTTTTAGACAATTATAATATACCTAGGTACTGTTAGGAAAATCCGACAGTGCCGGTGTACTGGGAGAACACTAGCCTTACTAAAGTTTCAACGTTTATGTCCCGTCACTATTCATTCTGGCACTTCACTCTGTAACGAAAGCACGTTATTCGCGCCAAATGATTTTAACTAATAATGTGTAAGAGCACAAAAAATGTTTTTCGAGTTTCTAGATTTAATTTCCTTAGTTAATACTCCTCATTCCCTTTCAGTATAGTGTATTCTGCAATTCAAGAACTTTTATTTGATATCCATATTGAGGGAGTTGTTAAAAAATATGTTCCGTCATTTTGTGTCGGCGATCATCTTGCACCAATTTTCATCAAAGCTAAGAACACTCCAGATTCACCTTTCAAATTCCATCTCATAGCAGTTGCCGGGACTTTGTCCGCGCGGAATTAAAAAAAAAGTAGCTTTCTAACAGTGAAATATTTTCTTAATTGTTTTTTATTTTTTCCAGACAATAATAGAGAAAGGTACAGAGCACAGCATCAACAGGTTGGTGCTGTCCCGCGTCTGTTCCAGAGGATACTACGCACCGCAGCCACTTCTAGAAGAAGACGAGAGAGATAGACTGAACGACCTCTCACTGGCGAGGGAGCGAGAGAGAAATAGGTAGGTAATATTTTGGTTGGTAATATTACGCAAATTAAACCTTATTTCAAATAACCCAATGAAATGTCTGGGTTTCGCTTAGAAAGATAATTAATAAATGTTCATATGTTGAACTGTTCCACTAAGCGACAAGTTGCTCCAGGATATGGTATACGCTTAAAAAAGCGCGGCGTTAATCGCGCTAGTGGAAAAGGGTTTTTTACTTTTTATATCGTAAAGTGGTAAACGAGTATGCGGCCATTTGTATTCGCCGGAATAGCGAAGCGACCTTGACAGACATCTGCAATTACCGATGCGATACTTTAATTGACGGAGGAGGGACGCACAGGTATAGGATATTTCCCCTATTTATGCGTTCCCCTCCTTTGTCAAATCCATTTCCCTGATCCGTTCTTTATAAGAAAAGGGTGAGTAGGGAAAAAAAGGATTAAAATTAGGCTGTTTGCCTATGTACTAATATTACAAATGTTAATATTTAGATGGATGGATGGATGTTTGTTTGTAGGTATCTCCAGAACCGCTAAAATCTCGATGAAATTTGATATACATATAGAACATAGTCTGGAACAACACCTATGTGTTGTTCCAGTAGTAGCCTATGCTACTTATTATGTTTTTTTTTAATTCCACACGGACGGAATCGCGGGCGACAGCTAGTGGAAAATATATGTTTCGTTTCAGGGAGGCGATGAAGCAACTCCAGCATGAGGACCACATCAACGAGCAGATCAATGACATTCTGCAGCATGAGGGAGTTGACACCAAGGAACAACCTGACATGGAGAATATACACAGAGTTATTAATAGGTAAGAAGAATTATTTTACCATTGCTATCTCTTTTTATTTTAATAAGAATGAGTGGGATGGGTATATGTTCATACATTCATAGAGAAATTTCACTTTAACAACTTTCTTTCGATTCTGCACGGCTCCTTATTGTAATTGCGTGATGTTATTCATCTTCCTTAATAGTTGCAATATTGAATTCAAAAACAATTTCTTAAATCCGTTTACCACTTTTTGATATTAACAGTCTCAAATAATGTATTTCGTATTGCTAGTGACATGTCATTTTTGACAGCTGTCAGCTGTCAGTACGAAACATAGTGATGTAAAGAATCGTTTAGAAGTTAATTTACTCGGTTTTGACGATTAATTGATTGAGACGTTTATAACATTACAGAAAAAAAACACTGGTGAATTTTTTTTTGACAATTAATACACAAAATTTTTACGGAACTTAATCATATTTATGTTGTACATTTTTTAGCTTATTGTATAAAAATATAGCTAGATTTATTATTAAAATTCTGGTCAAAAATAATTTAATATCATCTGTATTCTGATATAAAAAAAAATAAGTTAAGAAAATTACAAAATGCAAACGAACTTACAACCTCTTTTTACAAGTCGGTTAAAAATAAAAAAATAAACAAATATATTTTTTAATGACTCGTGTTAACAATAATTATAATATGGCGAGGTACTAACACTGAAATAATAATATTTAGCAATTAATTCCTTAACAAAACTTTTTTACAACTTCTAGGCGACTTGAACTACTAAAACTACGAATAGAAGAAATAATGGCTGACGAAAATACACAAAACACCACAGATAATAATCCTATAGATTAAATATTCCATAGATTAAAAAGGCTCTATATTTAATTCCGACCGATAAAAATATGGTATTTAAAAAATACTTTTTTATTGTCTTTAATTATGGTTTTTTTATTAAATATTTTACAAATAATTTAATGTAGGATTTACAGTTTGTAAATGTTTGTAAATAAAATTTTACAGGTTATAAATTTCTTGCTCATATTTTTTGTATAAAAAATTAAATTTAAATAAATGTATGTATTTATAATATAAGAATAATTTATAGTTAATTTTAACGTAATTTACGATAATTTTTTTTTGTGATATGAAAAGGTATTTAAAGATTGGCCATACAGTTATTTATCATTTAGTACAAAATTATTTTTATAAAGTTTAATAATATTGTTCCTATATTCGCCTTTAAAATATAAATATAAAATTTGTGTTCTTTAAGCTATTAAAAAATTTGGGGGTGTAGAAACAAAATTTTAGAGGCATTTTTTATTATTTTTCTAGAAAAAACTAATTTACAGATATTTTTGTTATTGTTTTTTTTTGTTCTTGTTTAAAATATCTTATTATGAATTAGGATTTTATGTTTTTTATTAACTTTTTAAAAAACTTTTCTTTGTTTTATACTTGCCACAAATTCTAGCAAGAGACAGGAACATAATAGTGTCATAATATTTACCTTGTAATAATTATTATTAAAACATATAACACTAATTAGAAAGTAACATATCATAGATATATAACAAAATCATATTTAATTCATAAACGTAACCTATTATTTACTATTGCTTATTTTTCATTTTAAATATAAATTTAGGTTTTATGATGATCTCTGATTACTAAGCATTTATAACGCAATATAAATGCGTTTATTTATTGCAGAAACTATACGAAAGAAACTTCTCTTTTTTCAAAGTTAATCAACTTGAGGTGGATTGCAAATCTACTTAAGGTGGATTGCAAATTAACTTGAGGTGGATTGCAAATCTACTTCAGGTGGATTGCAAATTAACTTGAGGTGGATTGCAAATCTACTTGAGGTGGATTGCAAATTAACTTGAGGTGGATTGCAAATCTACTTGAGGTGGATTGCAAATTAACTTGAGGTGGATTGCAAATCTACTTCAGGTGGATTGCAAATTAACTTGAGATGGATTGCAAATTAACTTGAGGTGGATTGCAAATTAACTTGAGGTGGATTGCAAATTAACTTGAGGTGGATTACAAATCTACTTCAGATGGATTGCAAATCAACTTGGAATAGAATGCAAATGGACTTATTACTACTGTAAATGAAACTATTTTCGAACTTTAATCCATAACATAAAGTTATCAAAGTTCATCATAGTTTCACATAATCTTATTACAGATGTCAAAAAGGTAAATTCGGAGTCACAAAATCTTTCATACAATCCTTTTTAGGTTTTCCTATTTTGTTAGTATATAAGTATATTTGTATGTGATGATATTAAACATTTTGTCTGTAAGTCTGTAGTTTGATTGTCCCGTACATTTGCAGTTTCCTGCTGCTGCTGCCGCGCGCTGTGCTGTCGGATCCCGTGGGCGCAGACTACGAGCACTACATACACGACGCTCAGAGACATTATCAGGTTAGCTGTTACCCGCGTGTCCGGCTGCGCGGAATTACGAAACACATAATTAGTAGACTATGTGTTCTTCCAGACTCTTTCCTATATATATGCTAAATTTCATCAAGATCCGTTGAGACGTTCTGTAGATACCTTCAAACAAACATCCATCCAAGCATTCGCATTCAATTAATACGATTAAATATAGCCCCGGCTTTGGTAAGATTAAGCTTTTTAAAGGGGAAATAATTTTTCAAATTAGTTCTGTAGTTTTTGAGTTATTACGTTAAAAGATTTTTTTTTTATTTAAAAATTTTGTGAGTCGTCTGATGTTAAGTGATAATAGCTTTCTATTAAAAAGGGGAGAGAAAAATGATAATGTTTAAATTTGATAGGCTTTCAAATGTAAAAAAATCATCCAAAAAGTGGGTAAAAGTACCCCATTTTGTAGTATAATTTATTTTTAGCTTTGGCTAGAAATAACATCAACATTCAGTTGGCCGACTGAACAAGGAGATAATACTGCAAGCTCTACACACAGTTACGACAGTCGACCTGAAGCTGACATACATTTAGACGAGGCATTCCGACCTCTGCATCGCACCATAGATAAGGACAATTGGACCACAGACAACGCACATACCAAAGACAACGATACCAGAGACAAAACAGAATGTTTCTCACAAAAACTAATCATACGTTCACGAGATGTAACTTCATCAGTGGCCGAAGATTTCGATGAAGGTCCCTTCTTTAGAATGCTTTTTAAACTTCTCTCGGAAATGCATCTTCGTCCTTATCAAGTGAATTTGCACCTAACCTCTATAATATCAAAGTTGGCTTTAATGCCTCATCTATACTTACATGAATATTTATTAAATCCAATGTTACCGACCACTAAAAAGACACAGACTCTGTTTAAGACTTTGCAAGATCTCGCTAAGAAATTGACTATGGAGATCCCAAGGATAAAGAATTATAAGAAAGTCATAGAAAATACGAGATTGCAGCTGATGAGTGAGGATCCCAGTTATGATGAGAGGTTTGTTTTTTTTAATTATTTTCTATATTAACGCGATTTAAAAACAAAAAGCTAAAGACAAGGTTTTTCGTCGATAACATCATGTAAATGAAATATATTTAGAATATTCATTAAATATTTGACGTTCAATTATTTTAAAAAAAACAAATATTTTAAGTAAAGTTTAGTAAGAAAACAAAATATACTTTTTCTAGTTCTAATCACATTTGTAAATCTGATGTTGGCAGTTATGAATAACAAAAAAAAAGAAAAAAACTGAAAAAAAATTCTTTTTTCTAGCGGTGACCACAACCAACTAGTCGAAAGTTTAATAGTCCTAGAAGAATTCTGTAAGGAGCTGGCCGCCATCGCCTTCGTCAAATACCAGCACGGCATGCATATGCACAGATGAGTGTTACCATAAAAAATTTAATTGAATTTATTGAAAAAAAAATGCATTAAAAAAGTACATCATTTTTTTGCAATTTTTGCCTGTTAAAGTATTATTAGAGCTTTTTGTATATTTTTTATAAGAATTACAATGCGTTTAAATTTATAAAAAAACATAAAAAAATCATAGTTTTCTAATATTGCTTTTAATTTTGGATAGTAATTGTCAAAACAATGTAATTTGGTATAAAATATTATTGTGAGAAATATTCAGATAAAATTATGCTTGATTTTATAGCGAAGATAAAAATATATTTATAAAATCGATGCTTTACTGTTGGAAAAATTGATTTATTTCTTAACTATTATGTTTCTTTATTTATTTGTTACTTTGCAAAAATCGTTAATGTTTTAATTTATTTTAATTTTATTATTAAATAATCTTGTAAATTCATGTAAATAATATAATATTTGTGTGTTAAAATTACAAAAATGCAATGTAGTTTACAGATTTTTTCTTACTGGCAATAATATAAGAAAATTTTAAATTACATTTTATTTTACAAGGATTTATAACCAAGGTATGCTGTGTTAATTAGAAAAAAATCACTTATGTAGTAATTTCCTAGTCTGAAACAATTTTTTTTTTTGTTAAATCCTATACATAATTTTATTTTTTATTTAAAAAAATTCAATATTTATCTATATAGAATACATAAATACAATTTGTTTGAAATAGAGTAAATTAATGTAGCCAGTTTGTGATAATGTTATGAGTACGGCAACATTATTTTATCATCTGTGCTGTCAACTTAAAATCTTAGTTAAAGTTTTTAACTTTAGCCTGTTTTCGTGGAATTCAAAGCAGTTTTTTTCAGTTCTATTGATTTATAATGTTTATGGAATTAAATAAATGCATTTATAATTTAAATTAATTTATGTAGGATTAATAGAGAAGCTATTTTGCACAAAAATGTTTATTTTTCACATATTATATAAAATTGTCTATGTTTTATCCGTTGAATAGAAATATACGAAAAAATACGGCGTTTCATTAAACAAAAATAAAAAAAGCCATTTAAAAATGTGGTCAATGTGATTTTTTTCATCATTTTCATAGATGGCGCTGTAATTAAAAGGTTGGCAAGTTTTTATTTATTGGATAGTTAAATAATAAAACATTTAAAATGCAATGATGATTATATTTTCTCAAAATTAAATAATGCACTATAAACACGTAATTAACCTTTAAACAAACAAAAAAAAACTGTTAAAACTATTTACAAACATGGAATTCTTTACGAGTGTCTCACGTTACAGGAACAAAATTATTATATTTAACGCCATTTAAAAAAAATGGTCCATTTTAAAAACAAATACGACATACAAAAATAGTCTGTGTCAAGCCAAAGCTGTCAAAAATTTAGAATCGATTTCTTATTATAATCGAGTAGTCTAATATCCGATTTAAAATAAAATAACTTTTTAATTATATTTTGACTTAACACATTCAATGCCAACGATATCCAAGTACCAAATAGTCGGCAGCGAAAGTGTTAAAAGTATAAAATGGCTTAAATATAATTATTTCCTTCTCCCAGCCTCTGCACTCAAATCACAGAACGTACTCACCTACATAAATATAGTATATAACATATCTATATACTTAAAATTATTTAAAACAAACAGCATATATCAGTCAGTTTTAAATAACTCCCGTAAAATTGTTACTACTTACAGTCGAACCAAGATAAAGGAGAATCCTCTATAAGAAACTCTGGTTAAAAAACCTTTATAAGAGATAATATCGGTCATTTGAGATCTCTTTTATCTAAATTCGACTGTATTTTATCAACATGATATTTTTTAACCAGAATGAACAGATTGTACTATTTACTGGAATTTTAAGCCTGACCAGGAATATAAAAAATTGTCGTTATTGCGGAAAAATATGGAACTAATTCGCCACTAGCAGTAGTAATAAAGACGCTAATTGAAATATCCATAGTTCAGATTTTTTATATTCTCGGTTAGGCTATATAAAATGCTATCATTCGAAAAACATTAGGCACTTAAATTCATTTTATTATTCTAAAAGTAAGAAATTCATTGCCATTTGATTTTTTTATAAATTGAAAACCATAGAAATGACCAAAATCGTACAACAAGGCTACAGAATATCGGTTACAATGACTGAATATTCGGATACCTTCGTTGTTATAACCGATTGTAACTATTTTTTTATTATTTATTTAATGTAATATTTCATTAAAATCTATAATAAATGTATTTAAATGTATGTTTGTTTATGAAGTTCTCGTAACATTGACTAAATGTGAGGAACTAATGTAAATTTTTCTTATTTCATATATAAAATAGTATTAGCCCTAAATTGAAATGAATTTCCTTACATTTTACTTTAAATATGTGATTTTTGATATTTTAGTTGAAAGATTCCTTTTTTAACCAAAAAATTTCAAGAAAACGAAACATGATAAATTCGAACATATGTTAGATGCTATTTCGACATATTTTTTAGTTAAAAATTTTGTACTATTTATAATTTCAAGTTAACAAGATGAAAGTAAAATCAAATTATGTTTAGTTCAATAAAATTCCAGAAATATTCTGTTAATATTATAAGCAAGGAAATAAGTAATTTTGTATACAATTTCCCGTACTTTTGAATGTATAAATCGTTAAATAAAACATAGTAAAAGGTTAAAGGAACTTAGTTTTAGGGCATTCTATCAAAATTAGTGATTTTTTTACAATAAATTTCTATTTTCTTCGAAATTAGATATCAAGCAATAATTACCTTTATTAACACTAATCTGAGATGTTTTTGTATTTAACTAAATTAAAAAAAAAAACGAAAAAAGATGAACGGATATTCACAAAATAGGTTTTTATAATGTATTAAAAAGCAGTAAAATATCAAAATAAAAACAATTAATTTTACTAAGAAAAAGATTAATCAATATTTTTAACGGAGATTTTACAATATTAAAGGAAAATAAACATAATTAAACTAGCTGTCGCCCGCGACTTCATCCGCAAGGGAAAAAAAACAGTTCACTGCAATTATTCTAATTTTTCTCACAGTTTAAACCTTTCTTAGACCTCCACGAACATTTCAAGACCAAGATAAGTTCAGCCGTTCTGGAGTTTTAGCGAGACTAACGAACAGCAATTGATTTTTATATATATATAAATCAATTAAATATTATTATTGATTCAATTTATTAATTCTTAGTTAAGTCATATTATTTAATTATCCAAGACTGGGAACAAAAATTAAGTTACAAATTTAACTTTCATATGAAAAAATAACAATTATTTTTAATATTAAAAAAAAGAAATCAGTTTTTTTATAGAAATTATATAAATTAGTTTTAATAGTGATTATAAAACAAGAGCTTAATAAATAAAGACATCTCAGATTCATTCAACACACGACTAGCTCCGACCCAACTGCTGTTACTGTCACAGTGTACTGCACCAACAGAGACATCAGTGCAAATATAATTTTTTCATATTTTTTATAATTACTCTTCATAATAATAACATTTACAGTTTGATTTAGTATTTATATGTCTTATTATTGAGTATTATCGATTGATATAAAAAAAATGGATGTCTCAAGTCATATCAAGAAATATTATATTAAATAGACATAAGTAAAGGTAGTAAGCTAATAGTTAAAGTTTAGTGAAACTATGAAAATACCTAAATCCATTATCAACTTAGTAAATTTGATATGTATTTAGGTATTAAGCATTACTTGAAGTTTTTTAATTCCATTATATTTGTCATAAATATCAATTTGTTGATGTCATTAATACAAGTAGTCAATATTAGGAAGTTATAAAATGATGACTGACATGTCTGCCGGCACACTACACTGTGTCTCCACATGATACATATAATTTGAAAATGTACTAATCTACAATTACATACATACATACATACATTTATTTAACTATATATAGCAGCGTCGCCACGTGACAAGCGCCGTGACATTTGTCTGTAAACAAAAAATAATTTTAAAATCATAAAACTCAAATAGAACCGAGTCTACGGGGTTAGATAAAATGCATTCGCATAGAAGCGATCCCATAGCGAACTTCAAATGTTTTTTATATCATAAAGTGGCAAACGAGCGAGCGGTCACCTGAAATCGCTGAAATAGCGAAGTGACCGTTGCTCATAGATATACACAATTGCATATGCGTTTCCTACCTTTAATCGACGGAGGAGAGGATACACAGAAAGAAAATATACATCCTCTCATACGGAAAGTCCACTTCCACTTCCCATACTTTCCTTATAAAAAAAAGATGGGAAGAGAATGAGGACTAAATTAGGCCTCTGGGACGCACACTCATCAGACGAAACGCGGAATTGCTTCCACTTGACGCCTGTCTTCTGTGTGGTCGTGGTATTTCACCGGGCGAGCCGGGACAATTCGTGCGAAGATGTTAAAGCTCGCTCTACCACTGTCAAAATTGTATAGAACTGACAATAACTATAGACTTTCAATTTCATACATTTTTAAAGTTGTTATAGAATCGCTTCGAAACGAATGCTTGTCTAAGTCTCCTGAACAAGCGAGAATCTAAGAGATCGCGATTTTCTCGCATATAAAGGTAAATCTAATCTGACTTTCTCGCTTATACATCTCAGACTGTATTTATATTAGAAATATTTTTTGGATTAACATTACAGGCTTAAAACACGGAGTTATTTTTTTTTTAACTGTAAAATAAGATGAGAGAGCATTCTCACTTGCTAATGTTACTTAAGAGATAAAAATAAGAAAAAATCTTAAAAACTTGTTTCACGGGTGTTTAATAAGTGTAAACGGTATAAAGTACTGACCAGTTTGCGGTGTGTTCACCACCAGGAGAAGAACGGCGACTTGTGCTGGAAGCGTTGCTGGAACGAATCGAAGAAACGAGACGACGTCGTGCCACTTTTGGACCTAAAATTATATATAAATCATTTTAAATTAATTCGAAATGGCTACGAACCACATTCAGTCCTTTATGGGTACCATTTAGTAAGATAAATCTACACTAAGGGATAAAGTATTGACCTAAGACTGTTTGTCGTTTATAAATTGATTGATGATTGTTATTTCTTTATGAAATGGTAGAGTTTATGAGTTCTTGAAATTTTGAGTTTGTGAGATCGTGGGTTGTTGAGTTTGTGTCGTTTATGAGTAGTATACCTCTCAACAATGACTGCGGGCATCTGCACGAGCTGTACAGGGCTCTTGTTGTCCTTGAGGGCCTGCGTCAGGTTGAGCACTTGGCCGCGCATCACCGACATCTGTCGCTCGAACAGACCCTTGTCGAAACCTTTGTCTTGCTGGAATACACATTTTATATTAATTGGTACACGCCATTTTATAAGTATTATTCCTAATTTTCGGGCTATATGTCTAGATTTTTATGGTCTAAAGTTTAAATTAATGGATTATCAGGTAAATCTGTAATGATATTAGGATTGTGCTGAAGAAAAGATACGAATATGACTTACTTTGAATAATATATGCAGTTCATCGCATAATTCTTGTACGAAGTTCATGTCGGAGAGCAGCGGCAGCACCAGTTCTCTATATAATATATTATATTTAGACAATTGTAAAAAATGACGTATCCGATCTCTTTGGTGGAAACGGAAGAAGAAAAAAATGATCGTTTATCTTTCGCTAAGTGTCATTGACGTAAAGATTTTTGTTTATGAACAAATTTAGTTATTTTCTATTATAGTCCAGTTTTTTAAAATCCAGTGATCGAATTTTTCGCTGAATTGAAGATTGGCTATTGTATAGTTGTAGTGCTGGCTTTGTTGACTGTTGACCACTGGACTGGAATACTCTGGGCGTAAACATACTTAGTCTCCTGACTGAAGGGTCTCTTGGCCTGCGGCAGCCAGGCCCAGTGGTATGGGTAGGCGCGCCAGGAGTCAGGATGCTTGAAGGGGAACGCCAGCCCGTTGTCGATGGCCGCAATTCTCACCTCCACGTTACCACCTGACCATTCCTGAAAATATTATAATTTTATTTAATTGTTATATAAGTTTCTTCCATGTTGTATTATCTTTACATATTAATAAAATTGGATCATCTGTATGTAATATCGAGAAAATAATTTGCAAATTTTTGTCTGTCTGTATGTTAGGCAAAGCCTCGTTTGTTCCACGTAATCTCCGGAACGGTTAGACTGATGTTGACGGGAAGGTAACCGGAATAACTGAAAATTACTAAACGACTAACATAGTCTAAAATTTATCTCATAAAAATGTATAGTACATGTGAAGAGTGCTTTTGATTTATACTAATATTTTAACAGTAGAAGAGCCCGCTTTAACACTTTCGCACGACTTGTCCCAGCTCGCCCGGTGATATACCACGACCACACAGAAGACTGATGAGTTTGCGTCCGGGAGGCCTAATTTCGTCCAGTTTTCCTTCCCACCATTTTTCTTATAAGGAAAGGATGCGAAGTGGAAGTGGACTTTCCGGATGAGAGGATGCATGGAAATGTTTTCTTTCTGTGCATCCTCTCCTCCGTCGATGAAAGGTAGGCAACGCATATGCAATTGCGTATGTCTATGGGCAACGGTCACTTCGCTATTTCAGCGATTCATGTGACCGCTCGTTCGTTTGCCACCTTATGATATAAAAAAAATATTGTTTTTAGTAATTTTTTACCGTGGGGTCCGTCATATTGAGTGGTTCCGAGTTGCCGTTAGCACTGGGGGCGTCGTACTTGATAAGCCAGTTGTCATTGCCGCGGTCAGTATTCCGAATGATGTAGTCCAGCACCACCAAACGCTCAAACTGTAGCTGGAATCTATCACATAAATATAGCATCATTAACTTTCATAACAAAACCTATACCAATGATCCTCAAACTTTTTTTCACAAAGACGATTTTCTAAATTATATTTCTTAATTAGGGCTTTTTATGGGACCCCAAGATCTTTGGTCCCGAGCCCCGTAAGCGAGAAAAATTCTGTTTCGAATGTATATTAAAATCACTCTATAGACCCCATGGGGGGTCAATCTTACTAATATTATGCGGATAGCAGTGAAATTTGACACACATATAGAACATAGCCTGGAAGCACACATAGACTACTAATTAAGTTTTTTTTTAATTCCGCGAGTCGCGAGCAACAACTAGTGTAATTATACATCAATTAAAATGTGTAACTGACTTCCTCATGAGATGCGGTGGTGGGGGCTCCTGCTCGAAGCGACGCAGCCAGTAGTCCGCGTCCTTGTACCCCTCCACGAACAGCTGGAATGAACCCACCTGCAAACAAATCACTTTCATATACTATTTAAGACAAAAAAAAAACTATTAAACTACAAATTAACATAAGGGCAGTAAAATTTATTCTTTGAAATAATATTGAAAATATAAAACTGACTAGACCACTGAAGACTTGTGACTTGACCATCAGACTTGTTAATAGACCATTGAAAATTCTCAGTAAGGCCTGTATCAGGTAAAATGCTGTAGACTAGTCTTTCCCAAAGTGTGCGATAACGCCCCCTTGTGGGCGCTGCAGGTCTCAAGATGCGGGTTATAGTAAAAGTTTCGTTTACAATTCTCCGTTAATATACATATATAGGTCACAATAATTAATCAATTTAATTTGAAGTTATAGTGATTTTTTAATAAGTGAAAATATGGGGGCTCTAAAAAATATTTATTCTCAAAGTGGGCAGTAGACAAAATAAGTTTGGGAACCACTGATGTAGACCATTGAAAAGACTGGTGAGTAGAACATTGGAAAAAACTCAGATCTGTTAAGCTCTGGTAAAATATGTAAACCATTGAAAAGACTCAGTAACTCCTTTTGATTTCTGGTAGACCATTGAAGACTTGTTAGTAGACTATGGAAAAGACATATAAATAGACTAAGACCGGTCAGTAGAGCAAAAAGACCTGTAATAGAGGTGTACCTTAGGAGGCAGTCCCATTCTGTTGAAGCGCAGATTGGGGAACTGCTCGGTGATGGCGCGCTTCAGCCTCGACCTCTCGCGGTCTATACGCAAATAGTTGAACGTCTCAGATACAAGTTTCACCACCTAAAACATTACATCCTATTAAGATAATGCCTTTGGAAAATACCAAAAGAATTTATATTTTTGTTACTTTCAAAATTCAGTTTTTTATAATTGTTACATATGTAATTTTACTAATATTATAAATGCGAATGTTTAAATGAATGTATGTTTGAAGATATCTCTGGAACAACCTAACGGATTTTGATAAAATTTGACACATTAGGAACATAGTCTGGAACAACACATAGGCTATTTATTAAGTGTTTTTAAATTCCGCACGGACAAAGTCGTGGGCGATAACTAGTTTAAACTAAAAAAAACTGTTAGCTAACTAATACTCCAGTTAATTTGATGTCATCAAATTAAATAATTACAACTAAAATCCATCTAGAACATTCTAGAAACAGTATTAGTAGTTTATGTCGTCTTACCCTAGTCTTAGGCACGACTTTGAGTCCAATCTTGGAGTCGACCAGACTAGCGCCAGCTTCAGACAGATATCCTTGGTTGGGGATGAGACAGGAGCGGCCGAAGCAACAAGGGCAGCACAACTTGTGCATCCATTTCGTCCATTTTGGGTTGAGTCTGCCGTACGGCTCTTCGTCTTTTGGCTTGAATACGCCTATTATTTTCTTTAGAAAGAAAAAATAAATAATTAATAACGATCTATTTTGGTTTCCTTCGTTATTTTACTAAAATTATAAATGCGAATGTTTGAATGGATGGGTTTGTTAGAAGGTATTTCCAGAAGGGCTGCAAAGATCGCGCTGAAATTAGGCATAGGCGTAAAACATAGAAGGAACACATAGGCTACTAATTTTAGACATTTCTTAATTACAATCCCTTGGCGCGAACGGCGCGCCCACATCACCGAATCAAGTGTCAGAATGATTAGTGAGGGGACACAGACGTCGACATTTCAGCAAGCGCTAGTACACCGGCACAGTGTCGGATTTTCTTCCTAACACTAATTAGGTGTTTATTTCCGCGTGGACGAAGTCGAATGCGACAGCTAGTTCTCAATAAGACCCTTAATAGTAAATAAGTAAGCCCCGCAGTGTAAACATCAAATATTAAAATTACAAGAAAGGCCCTTAGTGCCCGTGGCCTGAATCTGAGTACGAAATTAATGCAAATATTAAAATGTCTCTTTCACACCAAATGCGAAATCCAAACTTAAAGATTTTACAACCCCGTGAAAGATAATTAATGTAAGCTTTCTACCATTTAAGTTCGTAAATCATATCCAGTTTAAATAGAAGGATATTACGTACTCAACAATTGGTTAAAGCTGTTAACCAACTTAGCAGGTTAAGTTGCTAACTTAACGAGTTTTAACTGGCGAAATAACAGTATTAAACATATTTTTATCTCGGAACAAATATACCTATTTGACAATGTATGTATTGCGACAATGAGAACCCATGCTAATTTTTCTGAAGAATTCGATTTATTATCGTAAGATTTTTACTAGATATTAAAAAAAAAGTTAATGTTTGTTTTTTTTCTGAATTAAATAAAATAGCCAGTGTTCAAGACAGTGAAACAGGAAAAAGAAGAAAGTCATTGTCATAATTAAAATATTTATAAGCTGTGGAGGTCAAGAAACACATTACATTTGCCTCATTTTATGATTTAAAAAAAATCGTGATCACAATGTTTTATTTGCAGCCAGTAATATCAGTATACATTTTTTATTTCCTGCCAGTGTCACTATAAATTGAAAACAGGTTTATTATAAAATGTGTAAAATTTCGAAAAAAAAATTGTAATTCACTCTCAATCTGCTATAACTGGTTTTGTGGAATTTCAAAACAAGTTATTTACGCATATTGTAATACTATAAATGAGTAAGGTCATTGAGTACTCTTGTACTGAGCTGAGATAAGGCCATAGATTAAGTTATGACCAGAATAACTTTGGCAGAATACATTGAATAATTAAGAATTTTGATCATGTGAAGAAGAAATATAGATTATAACAAATATAACAGATGGATGGATGGATATTTGTTAGGAGCTATCTCCAAAAATCCCAACAAACATGGCACACAAATAGGACATTGTCTGGAAGAACACATAGACCACTTAACAAGTTTTTTGTAATTCCCAGAGGACGGACTCACAGGCAAAAGCTAGTCTAATTATAACAAACTCTGTAGTTAATGAAATACATAAAATACTCACACCACCAGGATTCTTAACAAAGTAAGAGCCACTGGAGCCCTGGTATATCCTTTCGGGGTAAATGCCATTGTCAATGGCCACCTCCGCCTGCCACACCAGCTCACTGAACTGTGGGTCATCTGAAAAGAAACAACTTTAAGTTAAAAACAAGTTAATAAACACTAGTATGGAATTCAAACTAACTTTAATTTGGAAAACAAAGATATTCAAATATGATAATAGTTGTAGAGTAGTCATTATAACACTTTCCTTCAAATCTTTTTCACATGATGTGTCAAAAAATCCGAATCTGTACCAGTGGTACATAATTTTGACATAATGTCATATCTAGTAAATGTTTTTGATCCTGGAATATAAAATCAATAAAGCTTTGCCAAAATACAATAAATATTACTAGACATTCTATTATGACAAAACGTAAATAAACGCAGTTGTTTTTTGTGGTACAGATATAGAACATAGTCTCGAGTAACACATGTGACTTTTCACCTTTTATAATTCTGTACAGACGAAGTAGCGGTAAAAAGCTAGTATTACGATAAATAAATGTTACATGAATTTCAACTCCTCTCATAAATGTTACATCACAATAATATCAAGATATCAAATCACGACATAATGCATTTACTAATAACGTGATATTTTAAATTATGTAAAATATTGTAAAACATTATCGTATATTAAATTTCATCATTAAAGACAGTAAGAAATTACTATATGTGTACTGTAACATGACTGAAGTACTATAATGTCCTAACATATTCTTCTTAACTTATTAGGCTCTAAAATTATACACCTATTTCGCGTATTATTAACACCTTACTTTACGACCTTTAACAATTTCCAACAAATAATCAGTTAAACCATTTCTCTATGTAGAGACATATATTTGTACAGTGATATCCAAACTTTAAAATCCGCACACAATTTTGTGGTACTGCACAATAGATTTTCATCCATCCGCAAGTTGGCCCATAACTGTGCTCGCAGCTTACTAAGCTTTCATAAAATTTGCACCATATTATACTGAACTTGAACCCAATATCATTTGTCAGTTATAAACATAATTGATTTGTCATCATTGTAATGAGTTTAAATTAAACATTAAGTCCAAACTTCAATGCTATTAATAATTGTGTGTTCATAAACAATTTTATACTATTACAAGTAAAACAGAAACTGTTCAAAATGATTTATGAATCTTACTAATATTATAAATGTGAAGGTTTAGATGGATAGATGAATGTTAGAAGGTATCTCCGGAACAACTGAATGGATCTTGATGAAATTTGGCATAATAATAGAACTTAATCTGGAAGAACACATAGACTACTAATTATGTTAGTTTAGTTCCATGGAGAGGTAGTGGCGGGTGTCAGTCAGAATAACTAAAAGTGAAATACACAAAATATAAACATTGGTACTAAAGATGATAATAATAATTGGATTTAAATATATAAATGTACATAATCAACGTACATCTATGTATTTATGTAACAAGGGTGTTAGTTTAATAACTCTGCTGGACTATAGGAAAACCTATAAAATGTTCCACCCTTAGGTCAAGGTCACGTAAGACTTTTATAATCAGAAGATATTTCATTAAAGATAGTAGATAGACATTTTATTCTTTATATTAAATTAACTAATAATATTAATGAAATGAATGGTCTTAGCTCATCTTCAAGCCTGAAGTGTGAGAGGTAACCTTAAATCTGTTAAAATATTCAAGTATATTTTTAGTGAAGTAACCAAAATAAAAGTCTTGGTTGCTTGGGACGACAAAATTTTAACTTTAAATTGTCTATAAGTTTGCATTTGTAATAAAATTTATAGTTTAATATTGAAATATACTGACATATCTTACTATTATTACTGAAAAAGTTAAAATGAATATTTGTTTGAATGTATCTCTGGAACGGCTCAACGGATTGTGATGAAATTTGGCACAGATGTAGAACATAGTCTGGAAGAACAAATAGGCTACTTACTAGGAGTTAGAGGCAATATCTATTTTTTTAATATTAGTTTGTAAAAAGAAATATAACTACTATAGTAATAAAATAGTAACCCAAAACTGTTATCAGTTGTTTGTTGAAGAAAATTTAATTTGCATATGCACTTGTTTGGCCTTATCAGAAGTGGGTCCATAAAATTTACATGTTGCATGTCCACCATATCTTGCTTGAGTTACCAAACTTAAACATAAGTTGGTACAAAAAAATGTCATGGAGTTAAGTTAGAACCCCAATACTTTAATTTTTTATTGTTGTATTTGCAATTAGGATTTTGATAATTTGAAAATATGAATCAACACATTCACCGCTAAGGACCAATCTGATGTGTACACTGTGGTAAGCAATGTGTTAAAATTGTAGATTTGTAAATTGTCATCTCTTTCATTTTATTTAGGAAAAACAGAGATAGTGTTATGTTTTTACAGTGAAAATTCAGTTAAATTATTTACGTAACAAAGTAACATAATTTCGAAAATCAATATGAGAAAAATGGGCTTAAAATTACAGAATATACGAAATTAAAATCAACATTCTTTTGATTATGATGAAATATTACAGAAATTTAAATTATAACATACACAATTGATCAATTAACTTTAACAATAAACAAGCTAATTTTTTACAGATAAGATAAAAGTTAACAAGGCAAAAGTCAAATCTACTTAATTTTATTTAATCTGTATTAATATTTTAACAGACATTGTATAAAATAATGATATTTATCTACATTACTAATCTTTAGAAGTGAATTATGTTCTTATAACTAATGGTTTGTGTTCACTATACAACATAAGGTTGTTAATTTGAATCTGACACAAACAAAAGCCTCAACAATATTTAACAATTAGGGACATTATATAATCCCATATGATTCCAGGCTATGTTCTACATCTTTGCCAAATTTCTGCAAAATCCATAAAGCCGTTCTGGAGATACCAGATTCTAACAAACATTGATCCATCCATCCACATATTAGTGTCTATAATATTAGTAAGATATTGGAGTCATTTATGTAAACAGAAAATACAACTTTATTAAGTTCGGTATTTTATTATATAACATCAGTTTTCTTAAGTTTCATATCATAAAATTAAATATTAATTTTTAATGGATTTCATATGGAAATCAATAACATAGTTTGCAGATAAGTAAATGTAAATTCACCTTGATATCAGGATGAGTAATAAAAATATCTCCTCAAAATATTTTATGCAAAACAATTGATTTAATTACATTTAATGTTCAATTTGATTATACATGGCCAGGATTTCTCCTTATAACAATTATAATTATAAAAAGGAAAATTAAGATAAAGAGTAAATGCTATTGTTTTGTTAGCATATGGCTGATTAATTTTTATATTAATTCTTTAAATAATTGTTTTATCAATAATTATATAATAAAACATAAATAATAGATGATAATAAAACTTACCACAAGTAAATGTAAAATCCATTAATGTTTAAAAGAATAAAACAACAGTAAACAGTTTTCACACAATTGTTATGCTTGACTGAAAATTGACGTTGAAAAATTTCGTCTTGCACCTACATTCAGGTAGGTAATATTTTCAGCAGCTACACAATTGATAAAGATATGAAGTTGACGCAAATCAATAGCAACTACAAATGATATTGTGAATACAAGCAATTAAACCGTCTGTTTAAACAATTTCTACTGTTAGTGAAATGAACTACGTACATATGCACGTATATAGTTGTGTTTCATTTCGTTATCTATGTCAATCGAAGCCTTACAACTGCGTAAATGTAGTCGAACAAATGGACGTAAAATATTAATACTTTGAAATACTAACGTAAAACATTGAAGCATTTTATGATCGTTAATACGAGTATTGGAATAAAGTTTTCAAGGTAATTACCTGGAAAATGGTTAAATGATACTTCAAAGTCGCCACGGCCGCTCAAAAGCGGCTGCGACTCCCTGTTCAAGCCTGGAGAATCCACGTTGCCTTCAAAGCCGACCTCTGGCACTAAACAAATGTCCTCGGCACTACTGGACAATGATACCACGCCGTCATCAGGAGGCGTAATTATTGAATTTGGTTTGTCGAAATCGAGATTCAACAGAGTCTCTTCCGTACTCATGAGTAATGTTAAACAGTGGTCCTCCACCGAGCCTCATCTATTTCGCGTTGTAAAATTCTTTGTTCCACAATCATTTACACAAACACTTTTTCGATTCATTCAACTAGGGCCATAGAGCATAGAGTAAAATGATTTGACTGACAGCGAAGATGACATAGTAAGACCATAAACAAGTTTTTGCTCTCTAGATGTTTTAGCCGCAATGGATACAAGGTCTTGAGCAAAAAGTTGTCCATACACATACCTTTAATAAGAACCAAGTGAATTTGGCACTCACCTTTATTTTTACCACCAGACATTAGGGACCTGTTGAGACGCAAGAACGCAGCTACCCGTGATCATGATATGTATCCCACTGAATTGAACCGAAAACAGCTACGTAAACTACAGCGTGATGTAAAAACACGCATAGCTGCATTCAGGAACGAAAGGTGGGATTCAGATCTCAGTAATTTAAAGCCATCCCACTTAGCCTTCTGGAGGCTCCCTAAATCATTAAAGGGCGACACGCACACCACGATGCCGCCACTCTCTCGTCCAAATATGACACCAGCCATGTTGGACGAGGAGAAAGCCGAATGCCTAGCTGATAGTCTCGAGGCCCAGTGCTCCCCTAGTAGCCTACCGATCGATCCTGATCACCTCCGAAAGGTGAACAGTGAGGTCGAGCGAAGGAGTAAAATACCCCTTCTAGATGTCGTTCCACCAGTTACTAGAGATGAAGTTGAGGAATTAATTAAAAACTTACGCCCCCGCAAAGCACCTGGCTCCGATGGTATCACCAATAGGGTGACCAAACTATTTCCAGCTACTATACTACAACTTCTTGTTGCTATATATAACGTGGCAATGACCAAAGGAGTTTTTCCCACCGAGTGGAAAGACGCCGAAGTCATAGGGTTCCTCAAACCCTCTAAGCCACCTACAAATCCCACCTCGTATCGCCCCATTAGTCTTCTCAAAACGTTTGGGAAGATTTATGAACGCCTGGTTTTAGCCCGCCTTCGATCTTTTATGGAAACGAAAGCCATGCCCATTGCCGAACAGTTTGGATTTCGCGCCAAACATTCATGCACTCATCAAGTGCACCGCATCACGGAGTACATTCTTTCCAAACGCCAACGCGGCCTTAACACCGGAGCTCTCTTTCTCGACGTAGCAAAAGCGTTCGATAAAGTATGGCACAACGGGCTCATATATAAGTTATATGAGTACGGAGTACCCGACCGTCTCGTATGCATAATACGAGATTTCCTAAGTGATCGCACGTTCCGCTACCGCGTCGAGGGAATATGTTCTCAATCGCACCCCGTTCGAGCCGGGGTGCCTCAAGGGTCGGTGTTAGGGCCGGTCCTATTTACACTCTACACCAACGATATACCGCGTGTACATGGTGTAGAACTAGCATTATTTGCCGATGACACCTGTATTTACACGTCTGGTCGTAAGCCCGAAGCTATTTGTCGACGCCTTCAGACTGCAGCCAACACCCTTGGTGCCTGGTTTCGGAAATGGAGGATCGAAATAAACCCTACCAAAAGCGCGGCGCTCTACTTTTCCCGCCGCAAAGTGACTCGTCTTCCATCCGTCTCACTCATGGACAGCCCAATACCATGGGAAGACAAAGTTAAATACTTAGGTGTCATCCTGGACACTAAACTCAACTTCTCCGCACACGTAACCCGGGTTAGAAACCGCGCGGCTTTTATACTAGGTCGTCTTTCCGCATTACTCAATAAAAAGAGCAAAATGTCCCTTCGGAACAAGGTGACACTCTATAAATCAGTAGTACGTCCCGTCATGACGTATGCTAGTCCGGTATTCGCGCACATAGCTCCGAAACAAATACATCGACTTCAGGTGATTCAGAACAGATTTTTACGTAGAGCCACGGGAGACCCGTGGTACATGCGCAACAGTGATCTGCACATAGATCTGGACTTGTCCACCATAGCCCAGCACCTGAAGTTGGCGTCGCGTCGTTATTTTGACTCCGCCGTCGGGCATCCTAATCCGCTAGTTGTAGGTGCCGTCACCTACAATCCAATCGCGCTCGGTAAATTTCGCCATGTTTATCGTAGACCTAGGCACGTCCTCGACTTTCAAGATGACGCAACTACCATCGCTCAGGCTAGGGTTAAACAACTTCGCAGTCACACCACATATCCCAGTCGCTGCCGGCTACGGCAATCATTCTCGCGATATGGCCTCATAGCAGGCAGATTTTCACCTGTCAACGATAGAAGCGTAGCTGGAGTTTCTTCCGCCACTTCTTCTCCCAGCACTAACGCTTTCCGAAGTGGTAGTAATATTAGATGCATCAGAGCTAATAATAATCAGACAACAGCAACCGAACAAGCCGAGGTTCGGCCCCTTCGGGCACCCTTGAATCGGAATGCTAAACGCGTATCGAGTGACAGCCCAAGCCGAGGTCCCCTCTCGGGGGCCCTTGAGCCCCGTCACTCCATGGAGCGTCCACCGAAGCGACCTAAAAGCTCGGCGGCCTCCCAATCCGGTAATAACAACGAAGTAACGGCCCGAGCCGAGGTTCCTGAGGGAGCCCTCGAGCTTAGTTACTCTTAATCGAGGTTTAGGCTAAGTGCCATCTGCGCTCGGCCACCTCAAGCCCGGTGAAGCTGTAAATGCCTCCTCAAGGCAAACAGTGGCAATCAGTCACAAAAAAAAACATTTATTTATTGACTAATAATAAAAATAAGATATTTCTCTTTCAAGTAAATGTTCAAATTATTAATGGTTTAATGGCGGACGGCGGAGGACATCGTTGTCGGCTGGGGGAATAAATAAATTTTTAAATCAAAATTTATTCATATGCACTATGTTTTTTTTTAAATAATCCCTTTTAACTCTTTCTCTCTATATGCATTTATTTTGACTATAATTCTTTTTCTAAACATATTTTTTAAATCGGAAAGTAATCGCACTCACTCTTGGATGTTGTATATTAGGAATCTATTATATATTAGAAAATTTTCTGTCAATACAAGAACATACAGTGAGGTTCTTAAAAACGAACAACAATATAATATTAATTCAACCAAAGTAGTGGAGGAACTACTTATCAAGCAATCTGAAAAGATAGATTTACTCCTTCAACAAATAAGTAACCTAATGGGACTTATGAACAAGCTAATTGACAAATTACTAAAATGAATTACCTAAAAATATGTATATGGAACATAAATGGCCTATCGCCTAATATAGATGATGTAAAAATACTATACTTGATATTCATAAAATCGATGCGATGCTCATTTCGGAGACACATTTTACTGACAAAAGTTACATAAAAATACCTCAATATAACATATATTCCACCAACCATCCAGATGGCACTGCCCACGGTGGTACTGCAATTTTAATAAAAAACTCCATTAAACACTATCAATTACCTAGTTTCAGAAAAGAACACATACAAACAACAACGGTTTCCATACAGGATAAAGGTGGCGAATTTAACCTATCATCAATATATTGCCCACCAAAACATAACATTAAAGCTAACCATTTCAAGGAATTCTTCTTGACTTTAGGAAAAAAATTTATTGCTGGTGGTGACTGGAATGCCAAACATTCTCACTGGGGATCTAGACTCATAACCACAAGAGGAAGAGAACTAATGTCATTTATATCTACAAACAAGCTCAAAACTCTGTCTACTGCAGAACCAACGCACTGGCCGACCGACTCAGCTAGGCTGCCGGACCTAATAGACTTTTTTATAGTTGGTGGACTTCCGAAAATATCTTTCAAGATCGATTCATGCCTAGACGGATCATCCGATCACACTCCAGTCCTATTAACAGCTAGCTCTATTGTACTTCAAACTGATAAATATTCACCACTATATAACTCTTTTACAGACTGGTACTCTTTTCGCGAAAAAGTAGAGAAGGATATAGAACTAAAAATACCACTTAAAACATCTGAAGATATTGAAGAGGCTGCTAAAAATTTTACTAATATCATACAATCAGCATGCTGGCGAAGCACTCCGGAGAATCGATCGACTAATGGCAAGTTTAGCATCAATGTCGAAATAAAAGACAAAATTCGAGAGAAAAGAAGACTACGACGCGTGTGGCATCTGAGTCGGTGTAGCGATGACAAAAAGGCACTCAATAAAGCTATATTAGACTTAAAAGCAGCTCTCAAAGCTGCGAACGATTCTGCCATGCAAACATATCTCGAATCTCTCGCTCCAAGTAAAGCTACAAATTATTCTCTGTGGAAAGCTCTTAAAAGAATGAACAAGCCACAAAATAGAAAGCCTCCAATAAGAAGTGGCCAAAACACTTGGGCTAGAACAAGTCATGAAAAGGCTAAAGTTTTCGCAGACCATCTTGCAAAAGTGTTTGTACCGAATATGCCAGAATTGGGGATGGATGAATCAGACATTGAAGCTGTGATAAATCAAGATTACCAGCTAGACCTACCCATTAAACCCATAACACCTAAAGAAATCTGGAACGAGATACAAAAACTAAAGAACAAAAAGGCCCCAGGGTTTGATCTAATAACTAAAGAAGTTCTAATACAGCTTCCGAAAAAAGCTATAATGTACATGACTGCACTCTTTAATTCTATTCTTAGAGTCAAATACTATCCCAAACTCTGGAAAGTATCGCAGGTGGTGATGATTCACAAAGAAGGTAAACCTGAAAATGATGTTTCTTCCTACAGGCCGATTAGTTTGCTAACGGTAGTTTCAAAAGTTTTTGAAAAACTACTTCTCCGGAGATTGATGCCCATACTACACGAAAAACATGTAATACCAGACCATCAGTTCGGCTTCAGACAAGAACATGGAACCATCGAACAAGTGCATAGAGTGTGCAACATAATAAAAAAGTCACTAGAAGATAAAGAATACTGCTCATGCGCATTTCTAGATATACAGCAGGCATTCGATAGGGTTTGGCACAGGGGCCTACTATGCAAAATAAAACAATTCTTACCACATACTTTTTATGAAATCTTAAAATCATATCTTTCCGATAGAATATTTCAAGTTAGAGAAGATGACAGTACTTCCTCATTCCACGACATCCTAGCAGGTGTTCCGCAAGGCTCGGTCCTGGGACCAGTATTATATACTTTATACACCGCAGATTTCCCTGTAA